TTCGTCAATGTCAAGGTCAATGTCAAGGTCAATGTCACTTGCAGGGTTTGAATAAATTATTTTTGCACGTGATGCGCGCGCTTTTCTTCTGCGTAGTTATGAGAAGCTACCTCGTATTTTTTCATGTATATTATTAATAGATAATCACATGATTTTCTCGTGCAATTTGGAATAAATAAGCACTTGTAAATTTTTTCAAAGACCACAAATTGCACTCGCCCTACGGGCTCATGCAATTTTGTTAGTCTTTGAAAAAATTTACTCGTGCTTATTTATTCCAAATTGCACTCGAAATCATGTGATTACCTATACAAAACGCGCAAATACAGGTTTTAATTGAAATAAAACTGGATAAAATAAAATGGTGCCACCCACAATCCCCTTTCCAAATACACAAGAAAATGAAAGAACGGGTTAATGTTCCAGTGGTTTTTACTTTGTTACCAATTAATGTTTCCTTTTCTACTAACTTTCCAGCACACATAATGGGCTCTGGTTGAGGGAGTAAGTTAATATGTTTGCAATGAAATTGTGCTAGGTTTTTAGAATAAGAAATAAAATGAAAGGAAACCATGAAAAAATATTTCAGATTTGAAACATTACAAACAAATACAAACAATTAACTGTGCAAAAAAAATTAGTGACATGCAAAAGTGACCAACTGCTATTAGAGGTTTCTTAAAGAAAATTTTATGTAATTTTGCTTAAAAAACAATTCACTTCATCTTACTAATACAAATATTTGTCCATAATTTACAGTTTAATATGGGCTTACAAAATTGGTCCTGGGTGATAATTATAGTATACACCGCTCTCTTAAAGCCTGAAGTGACTTCTGTCAGACAGCTAACCTCCTTTCAAACTGACCTGTTCCCTGATCTGGCTTTTTTTTTTTCTCCCAGCTGAAATACAGAGAGTATTTGATTTTGTAACAAAAGTCACTCCTGGCTTTATTCTGTATTCCATTTCAGTGGAACTTTTCATTATAATCACTGTAAGTAATTGATGGTCATAATTAAACAGCAAAAACAAAAAAGAATGAAAATGTGTTCACACAAGCCTCTTTCTCAATTACTAGAAATTACAATAAATAAATCATAGCGGGGCTCCTACGTGCGCATGTGGGGCAGAGCCCCATACCCATGGAATATGGTCAACCTCTTTTCATTTGGTTGTCACATGACTGACTGAGCGTATGTATGTATGTATGTACCTTCAGATTGCATGGGTAGGGTAGGGGAGACTATCAAAATGAAGGGAGGGGTGTCTCAGGCAAGTCTTGGCAAATGCACATCTTTTATGTTATCATTAATATTAAGAACTTGGGAGCCCTGCTTTTAGGCTTGGCTAAATCTATTAAAATGTCGAGAAGGGCATGACGTTTTTAGGCTGTGCTTGAGGACATTGAGCCTATGCTAATAAAATGTCACCATTCCCAAATGTCTGTCATTGGTTTTTCATTGGTAGCAACTTGAATTACACTCTCGACAAAACTTGGGAAAAAGAAATGTACTGTCTCTACAAAACTTAAATACCAAGGGAAATACATTTGCCTTTTCCTCAAAGCAGCTCCCTTGATCATGGACAGAGCACATTCGTCAACAGCTTCTCGCTTTACACCTTTCTCCACAGGAAGACCTTTAGTCATTGCACGAGCATTTTTTGTCTCTATAAACCCTAAAACACACAATGTTACAGAAATCCCACGTTGGCCTTGCAGAGCTAAATCTTGACGTAAGCTATTAAAAAACCCATGCAATGCTTGCTTGTTGCCACAGTAAGTTGACACCCTTGGTACTGGAGCTACCCCCACAAATGATGAGACGACAACTATACTTCCATTGGTCTTCTGAAGGCCTGGGAGCATTAGGGTAGCTATGTTGATGTAACTAATGGTATTGACGGCAAAGTACTGAGGAACTTTTTCAAGGCTGCTGTTCTCATTCCACAGTTCGTAAAATGGCTTTAAATGGTTGAGAACTAATACATCAGGTCCATCAAATAGCTTGTTAGCTTCCTATAAAAGACAATAAGAGGACCATTTCTAGGTATCTTACAAGGGTTTACCATCATGACAAATTTCAGTTGCACAACAGGTCACAGCAATAAAGCAGCACACGTCTCATACTTCTAAAATTAGTCTTGTTGTGACTCATTTAACCCAAAAGGATATTTAACGATTATTACACGAGCGCGCGTTGGATATGAGATAATAGATAGCCAACGAGGCGCGTAGGGCCTCGTTGGCTATAATCATCTCATAACCAACAAGCGCAAGTGGAATAATTGTTTTGTTAAAAACGTTAAATTAAATTATTAAACTTTTAGCTCCCTTTTATTTTTAAGCTGACACGCACACTTACCATATTTATAGATTATGGTATATTGGCTGATATACCCTAATGGCTAAGCCAATAAAAAGTCTTGAATTGCATTATCCAATGATCTAGTTTTTTAATAAAGTGGTCCTGTATTCTGTAGTTTAACCCAAATAAAATAGCAGAGACTGAAATGACAATGATTAAGTATTGTGAAAAGAAAATGCACTATTTGGTATTATTCAAAGCGGGGGGGAGGAGGGAGTGGTTTGGTTCAAACGTTCTATCAAATTTGGTCAAGCAAGCAAATTTGATTTATTGCTCCTTACTTCAGCTAAATACTTGGCAGCCTCCAAAGAAGACAAATCAGCAACAACGTAGTTTGCCGTCTGTGCTCCTAATTCTCCGCAAAGTGCCACAACTTTTTTGAGTTCCTCTTCACGCCTAGCAACAAGTAAAAGTTGAGCTCCAAGTTTGGCATATTGATAAGCGAGTTCTTCTCCAATCCCGGTCGAAGCCCCACAAATCACGACCTTTTTGCCTCGCAGAGTTTCAAGATCAAAATTCTCATTCATGTACCAAGCGATCAAAACCGCCACAAGAGCTGTGATTATTCCTAGAAACGCCGCGACCTTCAAAGCCGCCATTTTTTCGAACGGCTAATGCCTAGTTTGTAAGATGCATAATCGGAATTTTACGAGTATTTCCGAGACCTTCCGATAACGTATCGATTTTGCTTCGCACGCAGTATGTTGTTGCTACGTGTCAGTCTTCCAAAATAATGCGTATTAATTTGGGTCATTTTCTTTATTTATTCATCGAATCTTTGCTACAATGAAAGTGGTATTTATAACAAAACAAGGCTGGTGGATTATCTTAGCTGTTTGTGTATTCGTTCTTGGAAACTGCGTGCTTCTCTACCGTTTTATCAACAAGACTTCGATTGCCGAGCTCGAGAACGCTGCTAGACTGAAAGAAATATCAAATAGCTATCTTGCAAAGTTTAAGAACTCCGACTCCAAATTAAAAGATGTAGCTGAAGCTGTTCAGAAATTGCAGAGTAAACCCACAAAATCCGATAATCTTGAACTTGAAATACGAGAAAACAGCAACGATAACATCAATGGAGGCTTCCATGTTGAAACACCTGCTGTTCAAGTTCAGTTGAAAGCAGAGCCGCAGAGAACTGCAACATCGTGGAAGCCAAAAGTGGTTTTAGCAGCTACCAAAACAGCTGAGGAATTTGTGGCTGCAGTGCTCGTTATGGCGTGCAATAGACCAACAGTGAAGCGTTGTCTAGATCTTCTACTGAATTATCGCCCTTCTGCTAAAGAATTCCCCATTGTTGTGAGCCAAGACTGCGGTGACGAGGCGACAGCAAATGTTATTAGATCCTATGGAAATAAGGTTTCATTCATTCAACAACCAGACTTGTCAGAAGTGAGAGACGTCCCTGCAAACATGCGTGGAATGATGGGTTACTATAAAATAAGCCGCCATTATAAGTGGGCTCTTGGTCAAGTGTTTGACAAGATGGGCCATGATACAGTCTTGATTGTTGAGGACGACCTTGATATTGGTAAGTTCTTATAGAGGCAGATGAAAGGCCTCTAAAGAATCTACCTTCCTCCTCCTCCCCTCTGCCCCTTACCCTCTCCTCCCCCCTCCCCCCATATTCTCAGCTAGAACCAATGGAAATCAGAAGGATGTGATCTTTTACTTAATTAAAATATTCTCTGTACCCTTCCCAATAATTACCTGGCAATCCTATGCCACCCACTGAACTAGCTTCTGTACTCCACTGTAGGCAGTCAACTTCATTTTATGAAGTTTATATAACTAGGAGTACTCAGGGCTGGACACTAACTTTTCAACTTTCTAGCCAAGTGACCAGTGACAACTTAGATGTTACAACAATTTCAGCTTGTTTACTAGCCAAACTGGCTGGTGGAAATCGAAAACCGGTATCCAAAACTGAATTTCTACTGGTCTTTGGCTAGTTGGCTACCATTAGTGTTAGAGCCTTGGTAATAAATGATTATGAAGTGTGTTTGTGTGGACAAAATTTTGGATTGCTTAGAATAGAAAATGCAGATGGTCAACAAAAAAATCTCAAAAAAGGTCAACCTTGAAACCACAGGACACCCAATATCATGACCTGTATTCTCCTTCTGCAATGACAATAAGCTGAATTATGCACGCATTTTGATTATTTCCTCCTTAATATCTGTCGGAGGGCAGATACATAGATTATATCACTATTAGCAGTGCTTGATTTCTTTTTATAAATCAAATAGTTTCCAAGTTGCCATGCTTCCTCTCAGCAATAGATTACAGTTGTCGTCAGAGTGTGGTAAGAACAAGGAAGTGTCACACCCGCCTAGTCACCTCATGAGCTGCTATTTTGTTCTAAGCACATTTTGAGGTCATTTTTTATCTGATACTGCACAGCAACATGGAATCTATTTGATTTTTTGTTTTTGTTTTTTCCACAACACTTAATCAAACTGCATTTTGACAAGTTCAGTATTATTTTTTTCCTTCTTACAGCACCAGACTTTTATGAATACTTCAAGGCAACTAAACCCTTGCTGGACAAGGATCCAAGCTTATGGTGCATATCAGCTTGGAACGATAATGGAAAAGAAGGAATGGTTAAAAGAAATGACATTCTTTACAGAACAGACTTTTTCCCTGGACTTGGCTGGATGATGAGGAAATCCCTTTGGATTGAGCTGCAGCCAAAATGGCCTCTTGGATTTTGGGACGATTGGATGAGGGAAGCCTCACAACGTAAAGACAGATCATGTATTCGTCCAGAAATTCCACGAACAAGGACGTTTGGTCCAGTAGGTGTCAGTCGTGGGCAATTTTTTGATCAACATTTGAAATTTATCAAGCTAAATGACCAAAGGCACCCATTTTCAAAAACTGATCTCTCTTATTTATTGAAAGACAACTATGATCAAAGGTTTGTAGTACGTGTGCACTCACTACCACTTGTCACTGCGAATCAATTGGTAGAAAAGAAAGTTTTTGCCAAAGATGTACAAGTTCACTACTCTTCTCAGAAGAACTTTGAACAAGTTGCTAAACAACTTGGTGCAATGACTGACTACAAGGCAGGAATACCAAGAATGGCATACAAAGGCATAGTCTCAATTGTATTCTCAGGAATTAATGTGCACATTGTTCCATCAGATTAAAGTATCAGAGCTCTGTTACAAGGTACACAGGCAAGCAGTATTTTGCAAAACACTGTGTGCATCACTTCAGATGATAAACATAGTGTTCCCTGTACTGGAAAGGAAAGCTCACAAGAAGCAAATCAGAGCAAGGCAACCATAAGAAATTAATCAGAGCTGAAACCATACACAGCTCTGAGATGGGACTCTGTCCCGAATGACACACTAACCAAACATTTAGCCTGCTTAACTTTTATCAAGTGATAGTATTTATTCTCAACAAAGCTCATCAAAAAATGGAAAAAAATTTAACCTTTAAGGATCTTTCTCCTGCTCATCAATGCAGACTTCTTAGAAATAGGATTTTGCACAAAAAATAATCAAAATTTTCCATGGGTATAGCAGGGCTCGACACTAATGGTACCCCACTAGCCACAGACTAGTAGAAATTCAGTTTTGGCTAGTGGTTTTCAATTTCCACTAGCCAGTTTGGTTAGTAAACAGACTGAAATTGTCGTAACATCTAAAAACATCTAAGATGTCACTAGCCACTTGGCTAGTAAGTTGAAAAGTTAGTGTCGAGCCCCGTACAGAGGTGTTAATTTTCTTGGACCTGCCAATTTTGTCAGTTCCAGGCCTTTTCTATTCAACAGCTCCTTGTTTTTGGACCTCTCTTCTTAAATACAACTCCACAATCTTTGCTGCGTCAGCCATATAAAAAAAAAACAGTTGGTAGGGAAAAATTGGTTAGTGCTAAAAGTGCGCAACTATCTTAATCCCCAGCATCTATTCCCTTTGGTTTGTACTTATTGTTTTCTTTCCAGATTTGACCATTCTTTTTCGGTAAACAGGTACATGGAAATAAATGAAAGCTAAAATTTATTTAATGTCTCAACTGATGTTTTACACCCTTTTGTCTTGCTGAAGTTGCTAACACCTCAGAAACAAATAGCCAGGTTACCTGTGGTAACGCGTGTGGTGTCACCAGTCCACTGTACAGTAGGAGTAGGAAGAGCCAGTAATAAAGCTGGCTGCTGTTGATTATGGAGAACACTGAATCTTACTCTCTATCACTGTGTAGAATTGAAATAATTGACAGTAAACACTAAGACAAGAGAGCCTCTTACAATACTAGTTTGTAAAGCAAATGAGAGAGTAGGTTTACCGTAAAAACCCGCGTATAAGCTGCACTTTTTTTTCCAAAAATTGTCGCTAGAAATTGGGGGTGTGGCTTATCTTTGGGAGCATTTGAAAAACATCATGCCGCTTCCGGCATCCAGTTTTTCATTTTTGCGTCTGATCTAATGCCTGGTTACTAATCTTTGAATATTCTGCTCGTGTTCTTGTTGTAATGCAAAAATCTATGGAAAAACTGTGTTGAAGGAAGAAATTCCTATCAACAAATACCAGAAAAAGACCAATCATATGTCAAAGTTGGTGGAAACGATGTTCATTATTTAATCACTGAACATGATTAACAATTATTAACCAAAGTTAGGTTGAATAGAAGTGGATAATTACCAAGTCCCAAAGCATTGAGGTTAATATTCAAAACTTTCACTAACACTGACGTGAATAATTGTTTTTATTAGTATATACCACACAGGTATACCTAAGCTCTTGAAGTGCAATTTTGTCTCCTTGGCTGCTTGGAGGTTAATTATTACTTTCTAATTACTTCTGAACTACCCAATCGGCACATGCAAAAAGTACTATTAACCCGTGTAATAAATACGAAGAGAAATTATAATAGTACTTTTCCAGGTGGGTCATTTCTTTATATAAGGAGAGGACTTTCTTACCATCCAGCCATTCATGAATAATTGAAGTTGCACTTTAACACTGTTCACTTTCTTGTCAACCTTTATTACCCTTGCAACTTCAATTTACATCATCTTGTCCAGAGTAACAAAATATTTCAATTATGCACTTCCTCTGACTGAATGTTCCTTGCAATCAAACTGTTCCATGTACATTGATCAAACTTAAAGTACAGCTGCACCACTGACAACAGCCATTATTAAAATAACAATAAAACTTGATGTAAAATAACATCCAACAAGATTAACAGACCTTTTTTTTAACACTTTGAGTTAACAAAGAGTTACCCATTGTTAGCAGAATGTTGAATTTCTTTAGAGAGGCCCTAATACCTCAACATATACAGAGTTTGATGGACAAATTTGACACATTTACTGCTCCTTCACACCATCTTTGGCAGGTTGTTCAGCATCTTTTGTAGTATCATTCACCTCATCTGGTTCTTGTTCTGCAGCCTTTTTTGCACTTTCTTCTGCAGCTTCATCCTCCTTGGCCTCCTCTTGGGTTTCTTTGACTGAGTCTTCTTCCACTTGTTCCTCCTCTGTTTGTTTAACTGCCTCAGTTTCCTTGTTTTCTCCATCTGCTGGTTCTCTGCTGTCCTCTGCACCTTCTTGTTCATCAGCAGCATTTTCTTCTCCAGATTTGACTCCTTGTTGGAAATAAAGTGTTCATAACTGGATAAATATAATTGATTGGAATTACCTTTGCCTAGCAGCTATTAATAACAGCAATCTTTAGTTGAATATCAAGAATAACCTCTTTTCCCACACTCAACCCAGTTTGTGTCTTTTTACCTTTTGAGCTTTCATCAACTCCTTGGAAAATTTTTCTTTCTTCTGATTTGTTGTGGCGACTAAATTGGTTTTGGTTCAACACAATTCAAAGACAGTTGAAAAACGTATCTTGCATAATGAACAAAAGGGTCCGAACCTCCCTCGTCATATACACTCAGACCATTTGCAATTTTTTGCAGAATTCCTAGAATAAACTAAACTTATACGGAATTTATCAATACCCTAAGTCACTTATACTATGGGGATCTAACCTTCTTCAGACCTTAAGGCATATCGGCTTGGTAGACTGGCTAGGTAGAAACACCATGACAACCCACTCACCTTGTGCAATTCTGTCATTAACATCATTAATGGCTTTGGATATGGCATTTTCAGCTGCATCATCCTCCAATATCTTTGCCAGTTCTAAAGCTTTTTCAAAAGATTGCAGGGCATCTTGGAGATCACCAAGTTTCACTAAAGTGCAAACAGTCAGGTTGACATGTTAATTATCAGTCGATGGAAAACTTATGTTAAAAAAAAAAAAATTAATTAAATAAAAATTGCTTAATATTTAATTTTTAAATTGTGATTGTGTAGCCTGCACTGTAGCTAACCAACAAATTCAAAATTCACTTTGAATTGCTCTTTCATTCCCTTTCTCTAAACAGGACACTTTAAGACATTGCTCATATGCTGATCCTGCCAGGAGGGGGGCATTGGGGTCTATTTAGAAACTGCAAATCTGTAGAAAAAATAATCTGAAACCGAAAAACCACAAACACATTTGATCAAGACCAAAACCCGCATGCAAACTGATATTAAATTTTCACATCAAAATCCAAATCGATCTGATACAGTGGAACATGTAGAGGTTTTGTGGCTATTTAAGATCAATGGAGGCACATAATTACCGCTCAGACTGGAACCCAAATACGAAAATCCAAAACCATTAATATTTTTTACAAGAACCAAAATGACCAAACACTAAAAAATGGAAAATGCACAAACCACAATGAATGCCAAAACCAAAAATCCCAATGCCCCCCTTCTGCCAGCATGCAGTACACTAGTCAAATACAATACTAGGAAATAACAAGGTTAACAAATAAGTTCTACTGTATACAACTCAGGTGGTAGATCTTTTAAAAGCAAACTTGTAGTCATCCTTGTTTTGAAATTTTAAAGGGAATTCAGAGTTATCTTTTTTAAGTACTCAGACTGTAACTCTAAAGATCTGATTATAAATTCTGCCCTCTAGCTTCTACACATTTCCTTGTAAGTTAGTTATATCAAGATGAAAACTTCTACCTGATAAGTTTGAATATTCTCATGACCTGTTTGCTGAGTGATGTATGGATATTATAGGGAGAAGTTAGATGTTAATCACTTCTGGGAGTTGAAGGTAAAAGTTCAAGCAAACGAACAAAAGCTTATTTTATTAGCATCAAAACTCACCTTCAGCTTGAGCTTCAAGAACTGTAGCATTAAGCTGCCACACCTTATCATCTGCCTGCTCTGCGGCAGCCAATGATTTTTGACCAAACTCCTTAGCATCCTGGTAGTATTTAAGCTCTAAATGACACCTGCCAATTTCATGATAAAGCCATGTGCTTTCTAAAACAGATTTACTGAGTGGTAGTTTCTCCATCCAAGCATCAATAGCTTTGGTGTATTCTCCCATCTTAGCATACAGTCTTCCAAGGTTGTCCAGTGCTCTTGATTTAGCTTCTTTGTTCTCCCTTACAGGAAAATCGAGAACAATAAGAAAAGTGTTTCAGTGACTTAAAGATCTTAAAATTGTAAAGTCATTGCTTAAAAGGCATCTCATCATTCTAAAATTTCATTCATAAAATTTGTATAGCTGCTTATTCCACTGTCATTACTTGATGTAGTCTGAACAGAACTATCATCCCATTTGGAGGGTGTATACTGGGTTTCACTCCTTTAACTGCTTCATGGGAAAAAACCTCAACCACTACATTCTACAGCAATTGACTTCGCTAGAACATAGACCAGTTCTTGAACACTTATCATTTTCCAAGTAACAACTTACAGTTTTTTTGCAGCCTTCAGATCTTTTTCATGGAACTTTAAAGCTTCTTCATAATTATCCAACTCAAGGTGAGCATTTCCAATACAAGAGTACAGATTACCCACAACCTCAGCCTTGTTTGGGACACTCTCTGCTCCTAGTGACTGCACTGTTTTTAAAGTTGACTGCGCTTTATTTAAACTTGTCTCGGGATCGCCCTCTGCCAAAGCCTGGTCTATTTCCTCCAAAGATCTTAAGATGAATTTTGTTGTGTCGGCAGAGAGTTGTCTCTGCGGTGGTTTCCTTGGAGGAAGTTTCTTGTTCTTGCGAGCATAGAGTGGCTCTTGTTGTCTCCAGAATTCAATTCTTGTGTCTAAATAACTCAAGCCATCTTGGACTAGATCGTAAATTGGTTTGCTGCTGTTTCCATGAATAAAATCTACCAAAAAAAGGAAGAAGAGTTTAGGCATGCAAAGCTTGGCAGGCAAACACTTAGAATTCGTTTTGAAATGCTTAGTAGCTAACTTGAATCTTTTAAGCAGACAAATGTTGGGGAGAGAAAGAAATAGTTTTTCATTCCTAAACAACTTAACAATAATAATAATAATAATAATAATAATAATAATTTACCAATTTATATAGTGCATAGTTACATGTGCTGATCAATAGTGCTTTACATGTTGTTGTTAAGGTTGAGATTGGACGTGACAGCATGAAGCCTCTCAGTTTTTCTCCCAAACCTTGTTTAGAAAAGTGAGAAGCAACATGGGACAAACACTACCTCTTCAAAAGCAAAATTACACCTCCACTATACATGCTGCCAAAAGTTAATTGACCAAATAAGGTGCCTACAGCTGTATGTTCATTTTAATTGTTACTCTCATCTCGACCTAGAATTTACTCATTATGAAATATAAACAATGAGAGTAAAGTAAAAAGGCAAAGGAATTAGGGAATTAGAATTGTTGCATGACTATAATGTTCTTGACAACAGCCCAATCTACCTTGATCGCCCATGAGTTTCTCAAGGTACTTCTTGTCTGCGTATAATTCACCTAACAGCTGCAAAAAAGAAGCAAATCAAAAGCAATTCAGTTAAGTCCTAACGATCAAACAGCTAGAAAATTAAGACTCCACTGTAAAGAGTAGTACTGATAAATGGGCTTACTTTCTTGACCGTTTTTTCTGATTTAACAGGACTTTTGGTATTTTTTCCCCGGTTTGCTGCCTGTGGTTGATTTCTTGCTGCCAGAGCGGTTGGTTTGCTGTACCCTTTAGTTGTCTTTTTCTAACATCAAAAAAAAAAAAAAAGGAATGAAAAAGAATAAGTTGCAACATTCAACAGCAATGATTGAAAACTACATGTAGATTTCTGAGTTATTGAACAAATATTGATCATGGTTTAAATTTTACACAATAGAATTATATCAAAATTCAATTAGAACTCCTTGAGTCGGTGAACAACTACTGATCGTGGTAAAAAATTTACATACAGAATTATATCACAATTCAAATTCCGAGGAATTCTGGATGACGATGCTCCTTAAAGTTTACATATAAAGACAGCATCTTTTCATGTCTGCATGACCTACTGAGATGAAGCTCCTGAAATAGTCTTACACTTACAGCTTCATCTTGTTTGGCAAAAAATGACAAATCTCCTTTGTTTTCCAATTTAACCCTGGCTTTACCTAAAAAGGAAAGATCAATAAATTATTTGGTGACAGAATTACTCTCATGATAGGTGGTTAGGGAAGTTTTGTTAGTACTAAGTTTCACCTTAAAATTATACAGTTACGTAGTATATGAAAAGAAGGTGATTATGACTATCACTGATTGCAGTTTAGATCTCACATGTGCATTCAATCAGTAACTGTAACAAAATAACACTTAACGTTCAGCGTATGTGTTGTAGGTCAATTTGTTTCAAACTAGGTTAATTTGATCTCAACCTAGGTCAGTTGCTGATGTCTGTCTGTTTTTGTTTTGGCTGTGTTGAGATGTCTGGAACCTAAAATTTTTTTTAAAATACAGTTAAACCTCCCATAAGCGACCATCCAAAATGTCAAGTCTAGGCGGTCGCTTATGGGGGGTTAAGGGTTAGGGTTAGGGTTAGGGGAGGGGGGGTGTATTTTCAAGATCAATTACAGAGCAAAATCAGGTAAAACAAATTGCACTCAAAATAAAATTAATTTACTAATTAATTCAATTAATTAATTAATTAATTTAATTCAGACATGTAACTCTTACTTCCAATGGCATTATCAATGGCCTCTTGAGCTTTCTGCATGCCAAGTTTGAACTCTTCCTGGTCTTGTCTCAGCTTATATCCGCGGTGATAATACAAGAGAGCATACTCAAACTCTCCCTTGGAGTAAAGTGCTTCTGCTTTCTGGTAAAGGCCCTGTACATAAATCAGTTCCATTTGTTAGTAATTGAAAAGTCGAACCCACAAAACAAGCAAACATTGTTAACTAGTAAGAAAATTACTCTCACTGGCTTGCAATTTATTTTTAAAAAGTTCATCGAGGAAACATTGAGGAAGAATGTCTTAAAATAGAGTTACTTGGCAAAATTGAATTTCAAGAAAATTTCCGAACATTTTCTTTTCTTTTCGGGGGAAGGGGGGAAGAGAAGGGAATTTGAGCACATCCCTTAAGATCCATTTCTCTTTAACCCTTCACACTCCTATATCAGCACGCATATTCTCCATACTGTTCTCTATAAATTTCCTTTAGCACTGACAAGGAAAATTTGTTTATCAATCAGAACTTCTTTGGTTGATGGTCATTTCCATTATTCTCATGATCTTAGTGAGTGATTCAGCGGTACTAGCGCGTGGAGAAATTAGATTCTGGTCACTTGTAGGGTTTAAAGGGTTTAGTCACAGAAGGGAATATCATAAACAAATGTGTAAATAATCCTCACAGTTTCAGTGCATCATCTAATGAACAAGTTATGAGAATAGTCAACTTATCAGCTGTGGAGGCGCGGTGGCCTCATGGTTGGTGCGCTCGACTCCGGATAGAGGAGTGGTCTGGGTTCAAGCTCCAGCCAGGGACATTGTGTTGTGTTCTTAGGCAAGACACTTTACTCTCACAGTGCCTCTCTTCACCCAGGTGTATAAATGGGTACCGGCAAATTTAATGCTGGGGGGTAACCCTGCGATGGACTAGCACCCCATCCAGGGGGGGAGTAGAAATACTCCTAGTCGCTTCATGCTACAGAAACAGGAGTTAAGCACCGGCCTGATGGGCCACTGGCTCGTAAACAGACTTCACCTTTACCAACTTATCAGCTACATGTAGGTGTCTCCCTATGACTCTCTACTTAGCAAAGTTAACTCTAAATCTCTGTATAAAAGACGCCTTCAGACTTTCTTAATTATATTGTACAAGGGCTTGTTTTTTAACTGCTATCCAGGCTATCTAAGGAATATTTTGGATATATCAACAAAGTTGAAATGGTAAATTGGCCACCGTAACAATTACAAAAGCTGACGTTTCGAGCGTTAGATTTTCGTCGGAGCTCCGACAAAGGGCTAATACTCGAAACGCCAGCTTTTGTAATCGTTACCGTGGCCAATTTACCATTTTAACTTTGTTCATATATCCAAATTATTTCGTTACTCCCACCGACGCAGCCCCAAACAGTTTCTTTCCAAACTATCAGCCTTTATATATCTAAGGAATATGTTTAGTTTCCGGTCTGTATCCTATAATCTACGCGGAAATTATATTTTGTCTCTACCGTCTACAAAAACTACTACTTATGGTCTTCACTCCTTTTCATATATGGCTTCAAAACTATGGAACTCTCTTCTGGACTCTTTTAGAATATCTGACTTTTCTGATTTCAAGCGCAAGATTCTACAGTATGACTCTTTCTCATACTTAAATTTTAGAATGTTACAATTTTACATTTTAGTAGTATTTAGAATTATACTTGTAACTCAAAGATACTAGCTTATCCTTTAGCTACTCCAAATTCGAGATTAAATAAAGTAGATGTATGTATGTATGCATGTATGTTACTGAATGCAAAAACCACATTTTCTCAACTCATTTAACAGTTTAACTTGTAGTTTAACTTGCAGTTTAACTTGGAGCCAAAAGACATTACACAGAATTTTCAAATCTTAAGGAAGTGTCAGAACAAATTTGACTGCCTTGTTATTGAAATGTTTTTTAATCAAAGAACTAAAACCAACACTAAACAAACAGTGCAATACAATTTGCGCCAAATTATTTGTTTAGAACAATTCGTGCTACGATTATTTTATTCTTTTATTCTCTTCCACTGTATATTGTTTACACTTTTTCACATATTTTAGCGTTCGCCACATCGTCTTCAACTTGCTTCAAAATATTTATGCTGATTTGGAAAACTTACTCACTTGAAAATGACCTCAGAGAGGTCAAAACGTCGTGACTTCTTAGCGCTAGCTTTTATTTCAAAGTCGTTTAACAGTGAAATGAATATTAGCTAGAAAGGGGAATAATAAATCAGATCTAATGGTTTACAGAGTTGACAGGCTTCCAAACCTTGTTATATTCTTTATCTTCTACAAGTGATTCTTCTGCATCTCTCAGAGCAGCGTCAGCATTGCCTAATCTCAAGTAACACTTTGATCGCTGAACAAGACACACTTTGTAACCTGGTTGTAGCTCCAGAGCCTGTGAAAATAAAGAAGCAAATATTTTATTTTATTTAATTAGCTTCGCCGACAGGCAGGGACTCTGCAACAGCTTACATCAATTACTGCGGGTCTGGAAAAGTAAACAGGCCAGACCACATCACAGAAATCTCATGAGTGGGTTCTTTAACATCCCCTGCCTAACCAAATTAACTAATTCACAGATGCAGGAGACGGGACGTACGGTTTATTCGTCCTTATCCGAGAAGACTAGAATGTCTATCCATTTCTTGATATTGTAGAAAGTAGCCCATTCTCCTCGGTTACTTTGAGACCTTGAGTGTTGGTCTGGCTGGGGCTCAAACCCTCAACCTCCCACATAACAGTCCGGTGCTCTAACCAATTGAGCTAACCGGGAGGCAGTGTATATAACAGTCTTTCAACTACACCACAGAAATTTTTAGGCTGAGTGCTGTAAAACCAAAAGCAAAGTTATCATAACAACCAATCAGAACAAATCACAGGGGAACCTGGATGGATACATAGGGTTGTTGCTGAGCACCTCCTGCCGACAAAATTTGCAAGATGAAAAAGTAGCAACTGCTGGCTGGATTTTGGCCAGCAATTGCTCAGTAAAGCACAATGGCCACTTCCCAGGTTACACACTTACAATCATCCACCATCATTGAGCCACCTCACTAGAAATTTCAGCTGGAAGCATAATTTCTTAGCTACAACCCTAGGTGTAGATCACGACAGTGCATATCATTTGTGACATGATATACATATATATCTTTTGCATCAATTTCGTCATGATAGTAATCAACTGGTAACTGGCCTTTACTTTGTCAAGTTCTACATGTATCTGCAATCATGATATTTAACAACACAACAAAGCAATTTCAATTCCTAGCGATTAAATTTTGTTGATCTCTTGTCTGAACCACTTTTATTTTGAAAGCTGTAATAGTCTATAATCATAATAAGAAGTCATACAACGACAGCAACTAGGCTAATTAATTAAGTACATCATTGTCCCTATGTAAATGCAGTAGTTAGATAAACAGCAAGTTTGTTTTACTTTCTTTGATCTTGAACTAATGGTAAGACTTTGAGACTTCCAAGGCGAAAAAGTGACATTTACAGATGCTCTAAAAAGTCAGGATATTCTAGAAAATCATGAGCGCTCTTGATCAAGGAATATTTCGCTGAAATCGACAGAGTTAATTGAGTTTACCTGAGTGTAACTATCCAGAGCCTTCTTGTATTCGCCCTGGTTAAAATGCACATTTCCTTCAGAAAGGTAAGTCGTAAAAGAACTCTTTGGCCCTTCTAGTTCGTCGTCGTCGTCATACATGGCGGAAAAGGGCTTTTTTCTCGAAAGACTGCGGTTGAAATAATAAAAGTTCGCACGACACGACCAAACACTGTCAATATGGCCCCTTGACTGTTCTTGGCTGTCGTTAAGGGAAGGTTGCTATGCAGAACCCAGTACTTTTCCCCTATAATGACAGCCGCTGTGCAGTATATTGTTGTGTCGCGTCGAGGTACTTTCTACTTTCTAATGATAACAAAAGATTGGACTCGAATAGAAAATTGATCGTAGTTATTTTTAAAGATTATTCAGAAAAAAATGTGCTATATTTCAAGGACAAATTTAATTTGTTTAAGCAGTGTTAATGCGAACATGTTTTTTCTAGTCTAGAAATTTCATTTCTGAACGGATTTTTTGGAAAAGGGCTAAACAAAGCCACGACGGAAAAGATCAATTAGTTTTAAACATAATGATTTTGATTTCAGCCGACATTTTACAAAACTGAAAACAAGACTTTCATTGAAAGTTGAACAACATTGAGAGACAAAAAATTAAAACTTTCTTATCTTAGGTGTGATCATTTCTATTGACATTTTGTTGTGATTACCTCTTACATGAAACTCTATGTGAGGTTTTCTTTTATATATTGTTTGTTTTGATGCATTTAGCAACAAAGTGTTACATTCTTTTCCGGGCCAGTCTGGAAGAACTTGAAAAAAATTTCCTGGGCCAATCCAGAATTTTCTCCATATATGACCAGACGATGACGTAACTCTTAGTCTAGACCAATCAGATAACAGAATTTATTTGATTGAGGCTGTTTGTTGTCGATTGTAGTTTGAGGTATCCAAACTCTACGTACCGTGTCTGGAATATAACTCCAATCAGAGGTAACAAGACAATGTGGAGGTACCGATGTTTGCTGGGAGAGGCTCCGTTGACACAAACTGACTCTCTGTGATAATGTAGTTGGCGGCGTTGTGGTGGGAAGACGCTAAAACTCGCGGATATCGCGTTGTCGAGAACTTACGCGAAGCTCCTGAGAGCTAACACAGGCTACCATGGGTAACATTCACTGCTGTGTCCTTCCTTCACCTCGAGGCGGACCTGCGGTGAAAAACGAACCCTATGATAGAACAGGGCATGCCAACGAGACGTTTGAACTACCGCACATTAGCGATAGAGAAGGTGGCGACCAAATTGTTTGTGGAAGGTTATAGTGATTGCATGCTCGGCGGATCGAATTGGATGACTGATGTTTTTTCGTCTAATTTCTCAGATCTATCAAACCACAAGGGAACCTTATTTTTACATCGATCCCTCTCTAATCCAGGTAAGAAATATGACAGTTTATTTTGCGTGTTATTTATTTTACTACCTGGGGGAGACACGATTCGATCATCTTAGAATCACATGTTTGTGTTCTGTTCGAATGCATCAGATACTGGCAACCTTAGATCCTCAGGAGATCCTGTCTTGCATAAAAAACGAATCTTCTCTAAGGCTCGCTTCGATTTTTCTATCAAAACCCAGCAGAGTTGCCACTACCCGAGTTTTGTTGTATTATGACCAAAAAAATTGTTGTTTGTGTAATTCAGAATTTTCGTGAACAGTATTTAATTTATCTTGTGACCTACGTCCCCATGTTGTGGATTACCTTCACACTACAATTTAATTTCACAAAAGGAGATTTCACGGTGATCCAAAAGTAATTTGTGTCAACGTTCTACGGATCACGCAACTTGATCTTTTGGAGATCCGTGGTAATAAAATCCAATTTCTTGGTCAACTGATCTGATCTGATGTTCACACCACACATGTGATCCGTGATAACGCAAAATATGTTCTTAAATTCCCTCCAAAAACCCTGGATTTTCGTTTTCTTATGTAAATGTCTTAAAGAGTAATCTTCTTTTTTATTCCTAAAGGATAGGAATAGTAATAATTTTGTAAGGAATTTTTGTGTGCAGTGAATCAAAATTTCAAAATTAAGATGATTGGATAAACTAATAACTAACCAAAACGGACTTTTTAGTCAATCATCTTTCAGTTTCAATCTACTTTACCCTTAAACGCTAAGAGTGACCCGCATCTAATTTGTCTTACAGTAATACTGCTGAATCACTCAGTAAGGCAACAACAAGGAACTGATTGCCAACCTAAGAATCTGTGGTTGTTGAATAAGTTTTCCTTGTTAGTACCAAAGGAAGTGTATTGAGAAGAGTTTTTATCAGAGGTTTTGATGTTAGGGTGTAAAACATTAAACCCAACTCTCGTAGAACAGTTTCTGCCTTCAATCATCACTTGTGATGCCAAGAAAAGTGACAGCACATGCAAATTTCAATTTAAGAATGACTGCTACTTTGATCAACTACTATGACATGCAATGACACTATCTTTAAATCCATTCTTAGACTCTTGAGAAATGTATTTTTGAGAAAGTCACACTTATCCCACATGAGATTGGGGATATTTCGATGGTAGAAGAAAGTCTGATGTCCAATGTGCCCATTGGGATCCCATTTATTTGAGGGAGTGTGTGTTCTGTGTGGTGTGGGCAAAGTCTCTCAGGTGACACAAGGACTTGCCCACCCTATGTAATGACAGTGACAGTTTGAAGAACACCTGACAGAAAACCTTGCATACATCTGTAAATGCTATAAGAGTGAACTTTGGTTCTCAATCTGAGTGGCAATGAGTGGCAGAGGTATTGAAATGCTGCCCTTCCCGATTAGCCCTCTGATTTCCTAGACCTAGATGGTAATTCGCCTCTGTAGTTGCTATGCATTTCCTTGTAAATTAGTTAGGAGAATATGACATTAGATAACAATTTCTACCTGTGATAAGTTTGAGTATTCTCATTACTAGTTCACTGAATAATATATGGATATTATAGGGAGAAGTTACTCATTAATCATTACTGGGAGTGTCAAGGGTTATTCATAAGTAACAAATGCCCTTTGTTATTGCTACCCCCTACTGCAATACCCGGGGTCATATTTAGGAACAGTTATAATGGTTGTGATGATACTTCTCATAAGAGTACAAGACTAAGTGTAATTTTTCATTATTATGATAAGACTGATTAGATTGGTTATAATCTAAGACTAAGTGAAATTTCTGTATTCTAAGGTAACAATGGACTGTTTCCTGGAAGACGTACATTTTCAACAGGAAGTGATTCAAGGAAGAGAAATGGCATGGGGGTAAGATCAGATATGTCCAGTGTAAATGTGTCATCCAAAGGCTTACTTTTTGCTTACCAGGGGCATGGCTTAGGCTATGAGTAAGAGCGCATGAATTTGAGTCAAGCTGTACCCCACCCCTACCCCCCCCCTGCAGGGTTGAAGTGAAGAAATTATGCTGCTTGCCGAAATTTCAAGTGAGGAAGCTCAAAGGTGGTAAACAATTGTGTGTAACCTTGAAAGTACCCGGTGGGATTTACCAAGCGATTGCTAGCCAAAAATCTAGCCGGGATTGCCACTCTTTCGTCTTGCAAACTTCGCCGGCAGCTGGTGCTTAGCGACCAATTTGCCCCCCCCTTGCCCCCCCCTGCCCTGCCCTGCCCTATGAAGCAGTCATATTGTGGTAGCATATTTTGGTAGTCATTTGATTACACACTCGACTCTCTCATTGGCTCCATCAACCAGGAAAACAGGAAGGAAGGAAAGAGAGGGACATGCTCCTTGTGATGGAATAGTATCAAGTCCTTTGGGCCATAAAGTGAATTTTAAATCCAGTGTGCCCTGGGCAATTAGTTGAAGACAATTGAGTACAGAAAGTTGCATGACTAGATTTACCATAATTATCATTACAAAAAAAACAGATAGAGGTTCTCTTACTTGTTAAATGTTTATTAACAAAGTCATTCACCTTAATTTTAATTATCTTTTTAGGGAACTCTTACAAGAAAGTGTAGTTCTTGTTCAACAATCTTTCTTGATGACAGTACAGTGAGTCAGCCCAACCTAAAATCCACTATTAAATGGTAATTGTATTTCACCAACAATAAGGGGAGAGGGATTGCTTTAACCCTCATAAAATTTTATTGAAACACCCTGCTCCCCTCTCAATGTTGAATTATCAGCAAGAGCTACTAACAATTTTCCTGACCAACATCGATTGGGGGCAAGGGAGATCTGAGGCAGGAGTTTACAAGAATCGCGAGGATTGTAGAATTCACAAATGTCCTTGACTGTGTCTTTCACGAAGTGCTATACCTTGTGTATCAGCAAGCTCTTAGCCACTCTTGGGAATGAAAGGTGTAAAACTGCTTTTACACTCACTGAGGCAAACGAAACAAATTTAATATGGAAATATTGCTCAAAGAATTCAGGTATACAAATTTCCCTTCATGAACTAACCTTAAATTTACCAAAAACAAAGGCAATTAAAAAAAAAAAAAAACTAAATTGTGCTATTATTTTTCACAGTGTGGCATTGGCAATATATTACCATATTAAGAACAGGTGGGGAATTGTTCTGTTTTTTTTTAAGCATACACATTGATTGTTTTGTCTGTTTACAAATAGATGATGTAAATTGTTTTAGCTGCTGCAAGACATCTTAAAGCAGCTCTTGTAGATGTTGTTATATTTAGCAAACATGTGCAGTTTACTTCAGAATCTGTAGTTCTATAGAAAAAAGAATGGGATTAAAAATTTATATTCTGTTTTATTTTAATTTGATTAAATCAAGATTGATTGCTATTAAGGTAGATTGAGACAGATAAAAAATAATGGAGCAGATAATTTTTTACTCTTGGCAATATGCCATCTTTGAGTTTTTGTTTCTTAAAATGTATCATATAGCAAAATTACTTGTAATAGTTGACTTTGTGTTTTTTAATATTTTCAAGATATTTGCATGCACTTTCATCAAACACGAGTAAAATTTGTTTGTATAAACAGCTTGAATGGCTTTTAACAAAGAAAAATTGTTTGATTTAAGTCTAGCTCTTGTTTATTCTCAGACAGAATTTCTTTTAATAAAGCACAGACAGTATCATTTCTGCTACCTTGAAGGTTGACATTTACTCATTATAATTGTATTTTTATTTTTTTCTAGATTTACAGAATGATTGCTTAAGGCAAATTAAGTTTCATTTAATTAAAAGATCAAGAAATTGTGGTAGACCACATCCAAATGCAAAGTTCTTTTGTGCTTTGATGCAATCAGTACAATGGCCATACTTCTGATACTTACTTAAGTGTCTTTTTTTGTGTGCTCTTGTAAAACAATTAATTTATTTGACACTGAAATGAAATCTCATTCTGTACTTTAGAGACCGAGATGTGCGTTCTCTTGACATATTTGATGAAAAAGCCCACCCTCTCACAGTAAGAAACTTTCAAAGAATATTTATCAATTATTCGCCGAAGGCGAGGTGAATATTGTCGAATAATCCCCGAACCTTAGGTGAATAATTGTTTTAGTATAATTTCAGAGCTGAACAACAGGGAAATTTCTAAAATCATATACATTTATTAACATTTTATTTTAACATTTTATATAAACCGCGTGGAGTGGTTTATATAGCGTCATATAAGGAACCGCTCGACCAATCAGATTGCTGGAAACTCTTTGCTCAGCTCTGAAATTATACTAATAATTATTTATAACCAATTGTTTTGATCTGTGAACAAACATAAACCTGATTTTAGTGCATACCTGTGTCACACATATAGCATTTTGAGTCCTTTCATATAAGATCGAAGCAAAGATCTCTTGGACAATAACTGAAACATTTAACACTAAACCCAAGAGAAAGCCTTGAATTACCACTGTCACTGACTTGGGGGAATTGGATTTTTCATACACAAGTGACACTGCTATGCTTTAAAAGATTTTAAAAACTAAAAGGGAAAGCCTGCTATGAGGTCCACACAATCATGTATTTATTGAGGGTTATGGCTTTGCTGTGAGCTTGATGCTATCCAAGAAAGCAGTCAAGGTGCACTTAAGGGATCATGAGGATTTAATTTGTTTTTAACGCTTTATCTTAACCTTGATCAGGCAAAGGACAACAATTACGTGATCTTTCCCAGAGTATTATATGAGGTTGAATCAAATTAGTTGAGCTTCCATCAGTCAAGATCCTTAAAGTTGATGTCCTGGCTTGGTACACCTCTTTAAATTCCCCTCCTTCACAAATTACTGCTCTGTGACCAAGTCAAACAACAGCTATACAGGAGACTTGTGCTCATTATTTGTGCCTGACAGTGGAGATAAAGACGAGTTTATGCAAGAACTTGTGGTAGGTACTTGGTGAAATCCTTCATACATGCATCAATACAGAAGAACATGTGGGAATACATGGTCATTTGCATTCATTAACGTACATTTAAGGATTACACCAAGTACTTACTGAACTTGTGACCTGTTATCATGGCCTGTTTCAGCCACCTTCAGGGGATTTTTTTTTATCAGTTTCCTCAATCAGCGAAGGGTTACAAAGTTATGTTTTCTATCTTAAAAGATGTCTCTATTTTTCAAGTCACTGACACTGTGAATTAATTAATATTTTGTTCTTTATTCTGTAGCATGATCCTGTACCTGATTACTATAACAGAGTTGACCCAGAACACAGACATATATACAAGTTTATCAAGACTCTCTTTCATGCAGCTCAGCTGACAGCAGAATGTGCAATAATTACATTAGTGAGTTGAGCAACATGATAAGTGTAGCTATCACTAAGCCATAAGAGGCACTTGTTGTAATTTCCAGAGTTTCTTAGTGCACATTCCTAAAAACATGTGTGTAGGGAAGTGTGCAGACAAAACGTGGTACAAACTTCAGATTCAGAGAATAGTCCATTTTACAGTTGTGTGCTTGGTTGCCAAGCCTTTGAACAGGAGTGAGGCTAAGGGTGACCTTGTTATGATACAAACCTTGCTGCCTTTCACATGTAAATTACTTTGTTATCATGTTAACTAGATACAGGTCTCTATCATGACAGGGTCACCTTCAGCCTAACTCCAAATCAAAGGCTTGGCAACCAAGTACACAACTGTAAAATGGCCTATTGTTAGGATCAATTTTGGATTTATTTATCAAGAAAAAGGTCACCATGAGTAACAACAAGCATTGATTTCCTTTTATGGACTGTAAGTGTTGCTTTAGTTAAATCAGGGGTCAAAGTAAGGTCATATGGATTTGAATTTCAGTTTGCACAAGGTGCTTTAGGTCAATATAAATTTGTATTTTTTTTTTTCCTATTCATATTACCTGTAGGTGTATCTTGAAAGACTGCTGACTTATGCCGAGATAGATGTGCATCCTGGAAACTGGAAAAGAATTTTATTAGGTGCCATTTTATTGTCATCCAAAGTTTGGGACGATCAGGCTGGTAAGGAGGTTGACCTCGTTAAACCTAAGTTTGCGATTTGATTCCTATTTAAAATTTCTAATTTCCAGAGGGAGAAATGATAACTTGATTGTTAGCATTCTGGATTCCTTTTCCAGGGTCCAACTTGGATCCCCTGTCAGGTGCTTTTTTTTTTTTTTTTGGCCACACACTTTACCCTCACAGTGCCTCTCTTTACCCAGCACTGGCAAACAGTCAGGAAAATGGATGAGTTACTCAGTAAAGGGAAACGAACAGGCATCCCATCAATGAAGAGTAGGCACTGTAAGAAAATAGTTTTCTGCACAAAAGAAAAATTGCCTAATGACTGGGTCAGGGCTCAAACACAGACTTCTAACCCAGCCCTTCTCAGGCCTTGCATTTAGATGATGGAAACAACTTTCTCTTTACGTCCTCCTCCACTTGTGCTAATATTGTTAATTTTTTCCCCTCAATAGTGTGGAATGTAGACTACTGCCAAATTTTAAAGGACATAACAGTTGAAGACATGTAAGTTTATGAATAGCTAGCCTTTTTACCCCACCCCCTACCCTGTCCTTCGTCTTGACTGTCACTCTCCCCCCTTGACATAAATCTGTTTCTCTCCCTAGCCGTTTGCTATAGTAAAAATCAAAGATGGCAGCCATAATTTTCACCAAGAAAATACTGAGCGCTTACTCGCCAAAATTACAATACACAGTTTGTGAATATCAATAGTTACCTTCTTAGTCCAAGTGTATATTGACGACTGTGTGACAGGGCTTCATTTGTTTCTTATTTGTAGGAATGAATTGGAGAGAGCATTTTTAGAACTATTGCAGTTTAATATAAATGTGCCATCAAGTGTCTACGCTAAATATTATTTTGACTTGCGATCACTTGCGGATGCCAACGATTTGGTGTTTCCTCTAGAACCACTTAGTAAAGAAAGGGCAAGGAAATTAGAGGTGAGCTTTTTGTACCGTTATTTTGATCTACAGCTTACTTGGATACCGGTTCTGTCCTGGTGTACCGGTTCACAAGGGAATTACCATTGTTCTTTCTTTGTTTAGGAGTTATCGGTTAGCTATTGTGTATTGTTTGGTCTTTTGTATTGGCTCTTGTGAACCGGTACACGAGGACAGAACCTGGATACCCAGCACCTCGTAATGGCCACTGTCTGTACTATTCCCACGGCTTTCTCAGTTATTTTACACGTTATGCGCATTTGATCATATGTAAATGGAATTTGCGCACTACAAATATTAAACTATTATTATTATTATTATTATTATATTTTGGTCAGAAGCGTTCCTGCATTAGCTCTCCTTCACTTGCACGTGTCTCGCCTCTCGCGTTTTCCTCGCGTTTTCCTCGCGTTTTTCTCGCGCTTGCCTTAAAAACAGCCAAACAATTATTCCACGAGCACGCGTTGGATATGAGATGATAGATAGCCAACGAAGCGCATAGCGCTGAGTTGGCTATAATCATTTCATATCCAACAAGAGCGAGTGGAATAATTGTTTTATTAAAAACGTTAAATTAAGTATAAAATTTTATTAAATTTTTAGCTCCCTTTTAATATTAAGCTGACACTTACGATGGCCATATTTGTAGATTATGGTATATTGACTGATATACCATAATGGCTAAGCCAATAAGAAGTCTTGAATTGCATTATCCAATGGTCTAGTTTTTAATAATTTGAATTATTCCCTGTTGGTTAATGCATTGGTCTTTCTTCGTATGTACATATATCGTCACGTTATGCGTTCCAGACAAATTTCACGCCAGCAAATATTTTTTTATGGATTGTCAACACTGTAATGCTCTTTTCCTTTTTACAGGCTCTTTCCAGTGTGTGTGATGACCACACGCGCGATGTGACTCCGCCCAGTTTATACCGCTCCAAGAGCGCAGATGCTCTGATCCCACGACGGAAAAGCTTGGCTATTCTCTCATGACGAATTATTCGACATCATGAAATGCAAAATGGCGGTTGATAGGTCACAAGAGACCTGTAAGACGAGAGAAAATCTTTTCAAACGCAATCCACAATGTGCACGTGTAGTGTTGTCTTATGTCTGTTAGGTTGCGCTGGTTTACACCACTGGGAGGGCCAAGTGTTTTATGGAGACCTGGGAACAATTGATGTCCACGCCTTGCGTGACCGCCTCATTTGGTTCGTGTGTCACACAATCTTCTTTGTGCGGTAAGCAGACGCGCATGCACGTTACTTTGAGGATCTCTTCCACGGGTAACTTGTACAAAAAGACGTTTTCCTGGCACCATCATTTCCAGCAATGACACAACTGTAGCATAGTAGCGTTGCATTCACATCCAAGCACAGACACTAAATCACTGGGAAAGACGCGGCTACATTGGAGAATGGCAAAGCCTCAATTTGAAGACCTCGGAGAACAGACCTTCTCCAACCAAAAACCTTTTTGACTCTGGAGCGATACTTCATTTCGCTAATAATCATTCAGTCAGTTTTGTCGACGTCGAGGTTGTTTTGTTGTAACTGTTTGCAATTGTAGATTTCTCAGGAAAGATTCCTTGATGGAGGAAATGGTCGCCGATTCTTTGTCACGCACGTAAGCTTGCCTTCCCTAGCCCGCTCCTACTGAGTCAGGTAATTAAAGCCGGACTCCTTTCGGATGAAAGGTTCGCATAGTGACCCCAAATGAAGGTTTCTTGTGAGAAATTCAACTAACTAATAAAACCATTCGCAGACAAGATTATTTCAGTGAATTCTGACCTTCTTGGTCATTAAAATTCTGGAGAGGTTCTTTCTCGGACACTGTGTCTTTGTTAGGGACCACACTTAATACTACAAATAATTTGTAGCCAGCATTCTACTTTCAGTTCATTTCCATTCCTTACCGAGTACGTTTTTTTTTATGATATTTCGAAGATTTCAATCAGAACATGAATTTATTTGTAAGGGGCGTTTCTCTGTAAAGTCAGGCTTGCCAAATGGAGTCTTAACTAGTCTGAAAGCCTGAAAATTGGGTTGAGGAACGTTTTTTTGTTTTTATTGCGTTTGCAACAATTTTACACTGCTTGGCAATCTCTTATCGCCAAATATGGATGAGGTTGTTTCTAAGATAAATAAATGCGTCTCAACCAGTGACGATTTGAAGTTTATTTCTTCAAGAAAGACACTTAATCCCAGCTTTAATCCAGAATTATTGTCTTTGGAGGAGAGGCGCAGAAAAAAAATGATAGCATGAGCAACAATGTGAGGACACGCGTTACTTCTTTCGCGCTTCTATCCTCGTGCATCACGTGTCTCGTCCCTCGGGCTTACCCCCATCTAGAAACTGCAATCAATTATGACACCTATCGTTTCAGCTAGCGTCTGCGCGACAGAATCTCGTCGCCACAGCAATTTGCGTAGCAATTTTTACGCTTAAAATACTTGTTGTGGAGGCAGATTGCGACGAACTCTAAGCAAATCCCTTTTATTCCCTCCTTGTCAACGGATACAGTTGCGAAATACGGGGGAAATTATCCCAGCGCCGAGCGAACCTTGGAAGGAAGTCAATTCTCGATGTACATGCGGTGCCGGAGTTTGTTTTCCTTGTAGTTTTCAAATACAATCGGGCGCAAAATTATCCTGGGAAAGGAGACTGATTATAGTTTTATGATCAATTACTCTACAAGCTAAAAATAGTTTGACTTTGGAGTGGTCGTTTTCGCTTCATCCCTTTGCCATAATAGGACGCTTGGGTACTAGACTTTACCGCTTATTTCTTTCCACCAGTCTCCTCGGTTAAAAACTGTCCAATATCGGCGTCTAGACAGGCACGGTAGCCCTCCCTGTGGTAAGCACTGAACATCGCGGGGGTGAAGAACTGGTTGAGAGTCTTATGATAAGGAAAGAATCCACACAAAATCCTAAAAAAGAAGACAGATACACTTTATTAAGTAGTTAACTACTGCCTTCTCTTTAGCTATCGTCTCAAACCAACAGACTCTAGACCAAATAAATCGATTGAAAAGTGCAAATGGAAAGGGGAAAAGGACAGAAAACGAGCTTCATTTGGTTTCTATCTTGGAAATCAAAGAACTAGATATCCATCACCACCACATAACATACGAAAATTTAAGTTTGGGGAAGGTATCAATCAGTAAACAATTATTATCTAAAGGACGATGGTGAAACGGGATGGCTGCTACTCCAGTGTAAAACGAACACAAGTTCGGTCTTGGGTGTAAAATCCAAGAAACGTCACTCTTACCCACAACAGCTATTATAGTAGGTCACGTGACAGCATTCACAGCAGCAGCCAGTCAGTCGGTCGACTTCTCCCGCCTCAAGGTCTGGACCAGGTCCCCAGAGCTTGCTGTTGATTGGCTGGTGAGTGTGACGTATGCAATCCGTCCATGATCGCAACGACTCGGTTGAGTTGGTTATACCTTTAAAAAAGATAAAAATCTTGTAATTAAATACAGGAAGTATGAAATGAAATTTGAAAAACATCATGTTACTTACCCACGTCTGGATGTCGTGGCAGTATCAGTAGAATTTCTCCTTCCCCAACCTTCTCATCGCTCAAGCCATCCACATTCTTCTCATAATAATCAACCCTGAACTTATAGAAACGAGGCTTACAATTGTCGGGCATTTCCTCGAGCTTGCTTCGGAGATCCTCGACAATGTCTCGGCCGTCCATTGCACTAAAAGAACACCGCAGCCTCTTTCGCGCCAAATCAAGAGACCAGAGTAACTGCGCTGAAGCGGATTGGCCTACCCCCACGCTGGTTCCGTCAACTACCACGATTTTCTTCAACCTCTTTTTCAAAAGTGCTAAAAGTCCCAGCTGCTCGATGTGACCGCCATCGCTGAGGTTGAGTAAAGGCGGGGGAACTGGACCAAGATCGACAGTCCGAAGTAAAAGGCGTGCAAATCGGACATGATAGATGTTTACAGTACACCACCTGAAAGTAGAAAACAGAAATAAAGTGTAATTCCAATAATTATTACTTGGCAGAAAGCAAAGTGACCATAGTAGCCAATCAGGATAAAGGAAGGCATCACAAAGAGCCAATCACATCACATCACAAGCAACCTGTCTAAAAGGCGGGAAAACGCGCGTTGGCGAGACGCAGTTGATATTAGCTTTGCATCTGATTGGCCATGGCTGAGAGAGTGGCGCGCATTTACAGGACTACTTATACAGTGAAGTAAAGCAAACCCGCTGAAATACCGGATACGCTCAAACTCTTTATTTAATCTTGCTTTATTCAATGTTTGAGCGTATACTAGTATTTAGAATCTTTGAAAGAGCCATTTGATATTCTTCGACTTTGTTACCTCACGAACTTGTCAGCACATCCGCTATTTTCTGGAGCCGTTGGTAAGGCAGCGGTAACCATCGCCAGGACAACAATAGTTAGATACCAGACCACCAAAATAGCGTGCCAGTCGTTAGTCAGAAATGGCGGGAGAATTACGGGAACCACAATGAACAGCTGTATAATGACTGGCAGAAACTGGAAAAAAGGGAATATATTGTTGACACTCAAAACTGTGCGACAGGATCACATTAATCGTTTTTGTTGTTGTTGTTGCTGCTGCTGTTGTTGTTTTAATTTGTATTTAACGACTAGGGTCACGAGGTTATATTTTTAGTGTGCCTCGTACCCGGACTGAAAAAGCAATAGGCACTCAGACGAGGAATAGGGCGCTTTTTCTATTCTTCTCGTGGTCACTTGCGCTTGGCCCTCAGAGTGCAGGAGGAGACCTCAGGAGTCATGGTTGCATTGTGAAACACTGCCTTGCTCTTTAGTTAAATAAGACAAACGAGGAAAAAAATAAACCGAGAAGGAGCAAGGATGGCCAGGAATAAAGATGATTAAACCAGGTTGCAAATGACAAAGTTGGAAAACTTAGGCTGACCTTCTAATGATGCAAAAGCTGTAAAAAGCTTCCTAAACTGAATGTTATGACCTGGAACCGGAAGTTATCCAAGCTCGGTATTCTTGATCGTTGATCTAGATGATATTGTTACGGGGAAAGATACTTACCCTACAACAAGCAATTGTTGATCCCGCCACATCCCTGCTTGGATCCGATATAAGGGATTTTCCACCGTGTACTCCCAACACCATTTGCAGATTTCGCACTGTTTCAGCCCTGACGTCAAACACACCCATATACAGCGCCAGAACAGCTGCTGATGTTGCCATGACGTCAGACAGTGGAAGATCACGTGGTTGGATTTTTCCTGTAAGATGAAAGCTTATCTTACTGAAGTTATTCGAGTTTTTCTATGGCAACGAAAGTGAGATAGAAATGCGTTATTGACCGAGCATGAGGTCAAGATGGCTGGCTATTGACGAGTTCTTTTCTTGCATTTTTATGACCGAGACGAAGTCATCCTTACAAAACGCTACTGCTTTTCTACCTGACAAAAAAAAAACTGTAGAGATGAGAATTATTGTAGTACCAGCAAAGCTGTTGTCTTCGGGATTCTCATCCAGCCGTTCTATCCCCGTGGGGGAGAGGATGAGAAGTTCAAAGGATTTTGACCCGACCCCACCTGCTTCCTTCTGCCAGTTATTCACAACTGTGTTACAAATGTATTCTGGTTTCATATCTGCAAGGTCACCTATCAATACCGAGAAAGATAAGAAGAGAAATTAATCATTTAGAGCGGTCGTAAGTCTTCTTGGGCGTGTTTTGATTATTTCCCTTTCGTTTTTCGGAACCGAGTTCTAACCGAAAAAGGTCACACTTTGACCCCACTGGCCTAAGTTTGACTTGAACAGGACTCGAGTTGGACAATCCTGGGAACTAAGAAATTCAACCAGCTCCTTGCCTCCTCGTATTCTTGTGTTTTTAAGTTTTGGTTTCAAATAGTTTCGACTGATTTAACAGAGTCGAACAGGAGAGAATTTTCTCCAGCTTTAGTTCCCTTTTTGGAAAACGCACTCACCCATGGTAACGAATCCTTTGTCCAGTCTCTCCCATTCTGGAGTGTCTGCACATGAGCAAAACGGTATGATATCGTGGAAGGATATCCCAGAACACCCTAGGCACCCGGTGCTCTGGGGTGAGAAGAAAGCCTTTTGAAGACGCCATCTTGGAAAAGAAAATAAAAATCGTTACGTTGTTACCGGGGAGACAGGTCTATCAGTAGGTTGTTCGTAAAAAACTTCCAAAAGTTCTGTCAAGGATAGATCTTTAAATCTTTATCCTAACGATAAAAATGTCTCTATAGATATGAGAACTACACATTGCGAACAATCGTAAAAGATGGCATGTTCTACTTTTGGAATTCCGTCGTGTGGTCTATTGCGCATGCCCATTTCCCGAAAAGCGGCTACCGGTGGAACCTGGGAGGAGCAGTTAAGAAAGGTCACAGCGGTGTACTCATTACGCTCGGTTTTCAAGGTAATTTTTTACTGAAATTCTGTAAAACTTCGGTGGATTACCACGGAAACTGAACGACCAAGAAAAGATGCAGCGTATCACTTTCCAAAATTGAATTTGCAAATTTATCATAAGTGATAATTAGTCCTCAGAATGATACTAAATTTTTCATTATTTTTCCATAATTACCTGTTTCAGAACAGGACGACTTGATTTCAACCTTTGTCTATCGGCTGTCTATTTTCATAAATTGATCAGGCGATATTTTCGCTTGGGGCAAGTAAAGGAACATTGTTTAACAATGACATAATTCAAATAGGCTTACCTGTTGTATGTCTGTACTGCACCCATATTGAAAAGCCCAAGAAAGGGTGTCATCCAAAGAAGTATGGCAGATCCAAGTAAAGCCTTGTAGAAGAGATTATCTGAATAACTGATGTGTAAAACTGGACTTTTATAAACTCGCCATTTTGTTACATAGGCATAAGCGTATATCAGTAAGGCTAAAGAGGCAGTGTTTCTCAGTGGGGGAAACCCAAGCCACAGAGCAATACTTCCGAGCAAGAGAAAGCCGTTGACATACACTGAAGTATGCACCCTTAAAAACACTTCAAAAAACCACGGGAGAAAGGTCATTAGAAGCGTACAACCAGCGCTTACATAAAACACTTTGAGCTTGTTACGAATAGAGAAATGACGGGGAGGGAAAAGGAATCTTAATACATAGAACCCTACGCAGGTTGCCCAAACAACACCAAACAGAGTGAATGTTTGATCATGGCCCTGCACAAACAGACAGCCTTCGCTCTCTGTGGCATTTTTGGGCGCAGAGTCATTCGGGCAGTGAAACCCTGCGCGAAGTATATCCCCAAATATGTAATCCACCGAGAAAGCTGTGGGTAGCGCAAACGCAAGAGTGGTGAAAGCGGGAAAGATGACAGCCACCACAACACAGAGAATAACCAACATTAAGGAATCAATGATTCCAAGGAAGGGGTTTCTCCACGAGCAGAAGAAACCACTACGCTTGCGTAAGTGATCAAAAAACTCTTGGTGCCATTCTGGGTTGTCCTGTTGGTTGTGATGGTACTTCCAGTCGAGATAGGAGGCACCGGTAAAACCACCGCCTGAAACGCAGCTCAAGTAATCCAAGACGATCTCATGTTGAAGAACATAACGCAACACACCGGAGCAAAATGCAGCAGATCGAATCCCGCCACCAGAGAAAGCTATGCCTTTCGAGAATGACATGATGGCGAATTTTTTACCGATGCTTTGCTTTGTTATTAAAAGCCTAGCTCTGTCGCCTTCTCGAGTTGTGAGTGTTTAAACTAACTTTGGCTTTTATTTCGTTAATTTAATTTGTTGTTTAATTTTCTGTTAAAATTCATCAAAGCCACGGGGATACTGTTTTGCCACGCACCAATGTGAGAGATTAATATTAAACTCATTCTAAATGTAAATTTAAATGTAGAAGTAAATTGTCGCTTGACTTGTGGATACATCTGCCGATATGGTTATATCAAATTCTTCATGGAATCATTTTTAACGACGATCTCTCTCATAAAGTACGAAGTTTGACACCGGGTTTGATAGTAAAGAAAGTGCCTTTGATACAAATACTTATGGTAATTTACGGGGTTTCAAAGGAATGGCGAAACTACAACGAATCATTTTGGCTTGAATACGTAGTGGTACAAATTTAATCTGGTAATTTGATGTTCAGTAAGTTACGAGCAAGAATGAATTTCTCTTTCGATGAGCGTTTTTAATCAGATCCTATCGAATTAGTGCGCGTAATGATCAGAACAATTTTTTCTGAAGAAATAGTTGTTGTCTCGGCGATGGGACCAAGACTAATATATTTTTCTTGAAATTTGGCATTGTACAATATGGAAAATTTGTTTTTTTAGTAAGGTGGTAAGTCTTAATTAAATTTCTTCGGAAAGATGAGCAAATTTCTTTAGAGAAATACTGTTGCCGTAGGAACAGTTAGTCTGTTTCAGGCTAAGTCGTGAAGCGGGGGAATGTGGCAAGGGGGAGAAGAGAGGCTAAGAACAAAGTTGGCCTCCAGATTGCGGTTACGAGCGGATAAGCGAGGTGATCATGAGGAAAGCCAAGGGAGGGGGGTCTGAGAGTCCGACACAGTATAAGGAAACAGATAACTTGATACCCTTACAGATCTTGATTGGGCCATATTCAGACGAATTTTCTTAGGCAATGGCTACTTTTAATTTCGTTTTTCTTGGGCTGTTATGTACTCAGAAGACTTAAAGTTCTAGAAAAAAACCGCAACGATCATGCGTTGGAGGAGCATTGCCTCGCTCCCCAACGACTATCATCTAGGTCCTTATGGTCAATTCGTCTCGGCTATTTAGCCCCTAATTGTTGTGTCCTAGTATTCATGTTAGTATTACGGTCTCAACTGAGCTCTGAACAGTCAAAGTGGTCGAAAAAATAGTGTAATAGTCCCTGTATTTATGTTAGCATTACAGTCTCAACTGAGCCCTAGCTTCAGAGTGGTCGAATAAATAGTGTAAAATCGGAAAACTTAACTCAACCCCAGTGATAGAGTGTCAAAGATGTATGCTACTGATATCCTGTGGTTTCATTGCAGATTCGGAGCGGGCAGGCCGTCTTTCAGCAACATTGCTTTGACTTTGAAACAAATCTGCACCAGTTCTCCATTCTCTCTTGCACAAAAGCTTTCTGAAAGCGCGTCTAAACTCTGAGCCCGTAAACGCGTACAGCAGCGGATTGAGCGAAGAATGCAGGTATGCAAGCCAGCATGAGACAGTATCAGCAAGCTCCACTGCGCATGTCTCTACACCTTCGTCGATAAGAATTACAACGTTTATGATCTCAAAAGGCAACCAGCAAATAACAAAGCACAGCACCACGATCCCGAGCATCTTAGCTATCTTCAGTTCCCGTCCAAATGAGGTCGTTTGCGATGACGTCACTGACGAAGCTCTATTTGATGACGTCATGGCATTGACCCCAGCACGCTGTGCGTGCCCTTTAGCGATTGTGTAAATCTTGGAATACAAGACTATCATAATTAGAAAGGGAAAAATTACATTTCCGATGAGGAGGAAACCATGAACAAACGGATTTAAATCGAAACTGTAAGTCTCGTCTTGAGGTGGATCTAACAAAAAGAAGAGTAAAATAGCTATACTGACAGAGTACAGCCAAACACTGGCTATCATAGATTTGGCCACCTTCGATGTCATCCATATGGTATAGCGGAGTGGATAAACCACGGCTAGATAGCGGTCTATACTTATCGCTGTAAGATTTAACACTGAAGCCGTTAGGAAGAGAAAAAATGACGCGTTCCACAGATTGCAGACGTACCCACCCAAAGGCCATCGGGGAAAGGTCATCCAATATAGGACATCGAAAGGCAAAACGAAGACCGCGACCATAATGTCTGACAAGGCAAGGCTAAATATGAAATGTTCCGAATATGAATGCAGATACGAAAATTTTACACTCGCTATGCACACCAGTGTGTTGCCAAAAAGAGAAGTTACCATGATCATAAACATAAATACTAAACCAGCAAATGTCAATCCCGAGCCAAGATGGTCCTCGCAAAGAAGTAAATCGAAGCCATGACTATGAAACGGATCCGATTCGTTTCCCATCCCACCTTGAGGTCGTCGCTGCTTCAGCGAAGGAAGCTTGAAAGACGAAACCATGAAAATTGAACGTGACGAGTTAGGTTCCAAAATTGAAAAAATTGAAATTTTAAATCAACAGGTGTACCGATAAATCTTAATAATGTATTAAGATAAGTTACAGATACTCACTCTCAGCATAGAGGCGTTTATCGTGAACGATGTCTTCAAGATGAAAGTACTGTATTTCTCGATTTCTCCGCAATAATTGCCCGATTTCAACAGATGCGGATGCATGCGTTGCTCTGAATTTCAGTTCAACAGGCGAGTCTAACTGAGCCAAATGAACAGCACAAAAACACCATAAGATGGTAAACAATTATGTACCGTAGAGTATTTGAAGTGAAAATGAAGGTATCAAGAACACCAACTTATTGTGCGCCTGTCGTGTTACTTTTGTCCACAGGTCTTGAATAATATTGTTTCCAATGTTGATATTATCAAGCGGAGAATCTCTCTTTAGGAGAAGACACACAGAAGTTTATCAGTCAATCGCGGCATCTTGTGATCTTAGTCACCACTGAAGAAATAGCAATTTTGTCTCTATACCTCTGACTGAAGATATGGTGTGCAATCTTCCCACTCAATATAATAGATAAACTCCAGCAGTGTTCTTTTCACAAAAGCCCTCGGTGTACCAATTCCTTACACATCTTCTCTTTACGTCTAAGCTCTACATAAAGAAAATCTTAAATTAATCCATCATATGTAAAGCATACGTTACCATTTTTCTAAAGTTGAAAGCGCAAACAGATTTGCTCCGCCCATAGCGAAAATTGATCCTTCTTTACAACTGCGCACCGCTTTATTTTTTTTCATAACAAGAGTAAATACTGTAGAACACTAAATGAAAAGTTGCTTTTCATTAAAAAAAAAAAACATACACCTGTTCAGGGGATTTTTTTTAATAATTACCATGTTTTTTTTTTTCGCAATCGACTTAGATAATCCCGTAGGGTTAAATCGGCTTATTCAATGTCTTCCTTTCTGGTGTACTTGGTACAACTTCCAAGAGTACAAACTGTCTGATGTCAAACACACCGTCGATTTTGTCACAACTTTTTCGCTGTGTATTTACCGTCAACTGCTGTGTAAATAGATTGAAATTGCCGTTTTGTCATCTACCAATTTGTTCTTCAAAAACTGCGTGGTTATTGATATTAATAGCAATTTTAATTTCTTCCTTAACTGAAAAAAGAAAAAAAAAAAAAAGCTCGTGCATTTTTCTCTGAAAAATCGCCGGACACTGATAGATTACGTGTGATGCATGATAGGCATCGTCGGACACTGATAGGTTAATTATGGACATTTGTCCGACGACCTGAATGATTTTGAATCAATCACAATTCCGCATATAAATGTCGTTATATTGACTTTTGCTTGAATACTGTGAATGTTGTCACCCCGCTAATGAATATGTTCAGAGATTGACTACCGTCGATCATTTTGTTTTCGGACAGAATGCCGGTTCATTTTCTTTTAGAACTTTTGATGAGTTCATTCCCCGAAATGAAACGAATTTGTCTGAAGTAAAAGCAGAAAAAAAAAATTAAAACATCATCGATTGATCGCCCACGCTGCCAGTCAACTTGGAACTAAATAAATTAAACTAAATCATTTTGAAAAAAACTGTTTGCATCCAATTTCAAAAAATCAAAGTTTGCAGTATGGATTGAAAACTAATATACCGGATCAGTTCTAAAATATGATTTATTACCCTTAAATTTTGCATGGTGTTCCTATATAAAAAGAAAGTGATGCTGAAAGAGACTTGATAAAGAGAGACCTCTTCTGGTTTTTCTTTAATTTTCGTTTGAATCCAAAACAACAAATGTTAGAAATTAGCGAGACTCGTCCAAATATATTTTTACACTAATTCGCTTATTACTGTAGTTTATTGATCTCAATTCGTTAAACTGTACATGAAATATGTCAGAAAATCTTTAAACCTGTACATTTCCGACCGTTTCCTTGAAACCGTTACGGCTATTTCCGTCATCTTCAGACGACACCCGCCTGATATTCATTCCCAATCCTCTTCAAAATTCGAGTTAATCCCAGCATCCCATGCGCTCTTGGAATTGAAACGTCACCATAATCCAAGATGGACTCCGCAGTACTGGTAAGGGATCAAAATTTCTTCTAAGAATTTCCGTCGTTATACTGAGTATTTAATAAAAATTTTGTATTAGATAGTAGCCTACGTATCTGAAAAGTAACATAATGCCTGGGAACATGTGAATTATATTAATTCAAGGCCCTGTTCGCCAATATTCATTAGCTTGATCTAAAACCATTTCACCAAAATGGTTCGTGTATCCACATTCTAGAAGTCTTGTCACTAACTATTCTTGATTCTCGTACAAAGGAAGCATCTCTGTACACAGTTAAAGCGATCGCCATTCTGGATAATGATGGAGAACGAGTAGTTGCAAAGGTATTAAAAAACCTACATTATCAACATGCTTGTAACTTATCATGTGTTTCTTACATTGTACATGTCGTCTTAATATTATTTTCTTACCACTAATATTATGATTGAGGTTTATTACATCGAAGCAATGTTTTCTATCAGTATTAATTGTTATGCTTGTCTTGAATTTGTTATATTGTTTTATTACTTCCAAAAACTTGGTCTGCGATTTTCTGTTCGTTCCTTGAGGTTATTACACAGAATGTTTAAATGATAGCCTCCCCACATTAAAATAATAATAAAAACACTTCCCTTGAATGGTCAGGTATATTTTTGCCATAAATTTGGATTTAAAAAAAATGGGCATTAAATTCTTTTAATTTATTTTGTAGTATTATGATGACACATACCAAACAACAAAGGAACAGAAAGAGTTTGAGAAGAATCTTTTCAACAAAACACACAGAGCAAATGGTGAGCTTTCTTATCAATGTATCTATGTTACAATTGCACTGCTCTTCCAAGTTGAAATAGTCAAAATGACTGCTCAACCTGGGTGATTGTTGTTTTTGGTTATTCTGCTATGACAGCCAAAACAAACACAATAATTTGGATATATCAACAAAGTTGAAATGGTAAATTGGCCACCATAACGATTACAAAAGCTGACGTTTCGAGCGTTAGCCCTTCGTCGGAGCGAAACTATCAGCCTTTATTCAAAACAAATAGAGCTTGAAGAACTGATTGCATGTTTTCACTGTCAGACTTTTTCAAGTCATAGATATGAGCATTATTGTTCCTTCATTTATTGTCAGTTTGTATTTCCCTCTTCAGCTGAAATTATAATGTTAGATGGCCTGACTTGTGTGTACAGAAGCAATGTGGATCTATTCTTCTATGTTATGGGCTCTTCTAATGAAAATGAGGTAATTGTCTTCAGTGGGTTTCAAATGTGTATTTACCTGTATTTACCGTCTGGTGTAATGTTCTACTCTGTAGGCAGTAACAGATAAGATTTACTGCCTATAGTTCTTCTTATAATCCCTTTAAATTGCTTGGAATTCTTGACAATTCAACAGGTGAAGGGATTGTGCTACTGGCTTGAAAATTTATTTACCTTGTCATTGAAAATTTATTTACCCTGTCTTGCTAAGGGAGAAGAAGGATTAAAGGAGAACACTACTGGTGCAGGCAGCTAGCAAATTTTTTAAGACATGCTGACAACCAGTAGATTTTTGAAGATATGTTAAGATTTAAAATGATTTCAAATCTAATGTTATAAAATTACTTTGATTTGTATTTTTATTGAATGCTTTCTCTTCCTGGAGTTAGCAACTGGCACTTCCTTGATTTGAAATAAATACGTAGGTAGTCATGCAGAAAAGTGGTAAGAACAAATAGAAATTTCAATGTAGGGGATACTGCCTGATTTGACACCTAATTCTCAGATCTCAAATCATAAGAAATGAGTAGACAAAAGTTAGGAGAGTTGTTACCAAGATCTTGAAGTGGATGGAGTAACGATTACAGTATTGTACCTGGAAGAAGGGCAAAAACAGTTAGACTTTAATCCACATTTTCTGTTGAATTACGACAGTAATACCTGCATTTTTTTTTTTTTTTGCAGTTGATTCTAGTAAGTGTTCTAAATGCTTTCTATGATGCAATCAGCCAGCTGTTGAGGAAAAATGTGGAGAAGAGAGGGTTGATGGATAACTTGGATGGTGTTGTGTCAATACTTGACGAGATCGTAGATGGAGGGTAAGTACTGTTACAGTGTTCCGCAGAAGCCTTGGATGGGGGTGTCTTCATTGTCAACTTGTTTCCGAAGGCCAACTGTCTTTCGGCTGTCCGTTGGAGTTATGATTGACTTGGCCACCGAAACCTTGCTTTTAAGTAATGCAGCATACTACATACTTGGCTTTTGTAGTTTCAAATAAAGACAATTGGTAGGCTTTTTTACAAGTTCTCATCATCATTGTTTTAAGTGTTTCTAGTGTGGTAAATACAAGGAGAATGTAATTGAGTAATGCTAATTTTGCAACACATTAACAAATAGACAACTATTTAGGTTCTTTAATTTATTCTTGTTTTTCTTGTTGCCATGTTCCCACCAGTAACGTAGCTCCATTTTCCACCTTTAAAAGCACGCACAACCCACAATTCCTCTATTCGCTCCGACGAAGGGCTGTCGCTCGAAACATCAGCTTTTTTAATCGTTACGGTGGCCAATTTACCATTTCAACTTTGTTGATATATCCAAATTATTTTGTTACCCCCACCGACGCAGCCCCAAGCAGTTTCTTTTGAAACTATCAGCCTTTATTCATTCGTATTTAGGTTCTTAATTTAGCTATCAGATGACAAACAGAATAAAAAATAAGTTAGATTTTTTTTGCATAGAGATGCAGCTTGTATACCTTGCTGCTATGCAGTTCTGTCAATAGTACAACCCTGTTTTGCATCTGGATCTTGGCTTTGACAGTTTTCAACATGAGTTTTTTTTTTTGTTCTCAACAGGGTGATACTTGAATCTGATGCTTCATCAATTTTGCAGAGAGTTGCCATCAAGGTGAATTGCCTTTAGTCAACTACTGATTGAAATTTTATTAAATCTACTTTATATGAGATAAGCAATCTTGAAGTTACGGTTAAGTTTATTCCAGTAATTGCTAGGAAATGCCCATTTCTCATCCATAAATTCAAGTTTTATGTTGTCTCTTTTTCAGAGTGATGATGTACCAATCACAGAGCAAACTGTGGCACAGGTAAAAATATTATGTCCATAACAATTATGTCTAAATTACTTATCTTGTTCCTCACAGTAGGATCTGCAAGTTTGAGCTGATGTTTCTTCAAAAGTCTTTTTTAATCCTCCAGAAACTTTTATGAAAGTCAAAACTTCTTATCAGTAACTTGAAACCATCAAAAAACTGAATCACTGTACATTCAATTGATAGTGAGAGCAAGACTACCAGGAGTTTCACTTTTTCCCTTCCATCCTGAATTTTCCCTTGTAATGAGAACAGAAGTTGTGGACATCCGTGATTTTGTGGCGCTTGGGTTACAAAACTTTTACTGCCTCTGAGGAGTTAAGCAACTTAAATTAAAGAATTCCAGATCACTTTCGTATTCCAATGGGAATTTCCCACTCCTACTGACCATCTATTTATTCTTTTCATTCTATTCATCTTCATTCTTTCAGGTTCTTCAAACTGCAAAAGATCAACTCAAGTGGTCTCTTCTTAAGTGACCCTTTACTCTCAAAGTCTATTTAATTAGAGTTATCTGGAAAAAAAAAAAAAAAAACATACAGATACCATTGCTATGCATCTGTTTTAGAACTTAATAGAAATTTCTACAAGTATCTTAATTGTCTTGAGGTTTTTCTTGTTGAACTGGTCTTGATCGAAAAAAAAAAAAAAACAACACATCATCATATTGTACCAGAGGAAATGTAACAAAAGCAGAATAACATTGTAAGCTGGTTCACTGAAGCAAAATTGAAAAGTCGCCTTACAGGAAAGAAACAGGGATTCCAACTCAATTCAGCTGTGTCAATCAGTGTTCAGGACCAGAGCAAGGAAAGATGGCAAATAATTCTGATGGAATTCTTAATTTGTTTTTAGTAATATTAAAATAAGATCCGTCAGTTTTGTTCAAGTGTCCCTGGTCACAGAGGGTTCCCTTAGGTATACTACTAGCAATGTATCTTTTTTGTTTTGTTGTTTTTGTTAGTTTTGTTTGTTTGTTTGTTCTTTTTTAAGCTAAACAGCTCTTTTAGTTAGCCTGTGAAGGTGAATAAATTTGTGGATGACTTTTATTGGAAAGATGGTCAGATTTAGCAGCTGACAGAATACATGTACATCAACTAGAAATAATAATAAAATGGCACTTGAATGGTATTTCTTGAGTGTAATTTTTCTTAGTTCTCAAAAAGGTACTAAGTTCCTGCTGGGCACTGAGAGCCTCATAACCTATTACATCCAAATGGAACTGGGTAATAACCGAATAACTCGCATTCAAATACACCACATATACACAAGGTAAATTCAATGAATGCTTTATTAAATAAACGTCATTATATATATATATATATATTTGTCACAAATAGCTTACTTTGGTATAATTACAAAACCCTGTACCTCTGTGAATATTGTCTTGCAGTTTTTTTGTTCAATTTTTAATCAATGAATTATTTTCCAACAATTAAAGGTTCTTATAATTTTCTCTTGGCTAAAGGAGGCATTCTTCATAGCTGTGCTTGATGCTTTATTCATGTAAAACATCACGTGAAAAAACGAATGGGCTTATTTAAATAACCTTGTACCTTTCAACTTGCATAACAGCTTTTATCATCCAACTGAGCTTTGTAGAGTACAAATAACACAGAAGACAAGTACAAATATTGTGATATTTGTACTCCAGAAATATCCACGAAATTAACCCGCACTGAAATGTCAATTTGATGCGTTGGATAATAAATCTCTTATTAGACGTTTTGTTGTGTAGTATCATTGAGTATTTTCACTTGTTATTTGTATTTTGACTTGTCCTACAGGCTCGTCAAAATACGGCACAACTCATAAAATACTCAGCGATACTACACAACAAAACATCTAATAAGATATATAAATTAGCATAATGAAAGTGATTTCTCTTTTTGACATGGTATAAAAAATATTTCAATTTTTTTTTCTTAAGTCTATTTTTGCTATTTTTCTCCTTGTTGGTTGCCCTGAAAAAAGTAATCTTAGGGCTAGATGAAAAGGAAAGGTTACAAAAATATGTAATTCCCATCACTTTGAATGCCCACCCTATTCTTGGGGTCATTAGTTATGGTCTGATTGGCAGATTGGACCATGTTGGTTTTTGTTGTGTGACATTCTACGAAAAGGGTAGTTACTACTCGTCATTAAATTTCACAAGTTATGTCATCAGAGAGGATCAAAGTACTATCAGAACTTTTCAAGTAACTATTGTTGAAACTACTATAACTACAAAAAAATACTTCTGCTGTTTTATCATCCACTTTGTCTTGTTATCTTTGAGAGTTTTCTTTGCTTGGACTTGCCTTATCTATGGCATCCACACACTGCCTGTAGACAAAAATGCATATAAATTAATTGTGGTATTAAATTTAAAAAACTGCACCTCTCGCAATAGTCCATTTTTGATAAATCAAACTTCTAACATGGCTAGGAGGCTGGGGGGAATAAAAAATACAACAAAAGAAATTAATTATTCATCCCTCAACCTTGATGTGATTTCTTTTGTTTTATTCCTCCAAGTCTCAGAGCCAAGTTTGAAGTTTAATACACATCAAAAGTGGCCTATTACATAGTTTTGGATGAGGTCAAGAAAAATATTAGGATTTGTCAGTGGGGGAAAAAAGTCCATTCATTCTCAAAGTCAAAAGTTGAAGGAAAAGAGTAATCTATACGTGAGACAATGAAAAATCACAATATCAATTTTTGATGACTGAGTTTCAATTATTGTTTTATCATTTCATTACTGAACTTTTTTCCTTAATATTGTTCAAAATAGTTCTTTGACAGCCTGGTGAAAGGACTTTCCATTTCCCACTAAGAAGTATGATCACCACTTTGCTGGAAAACCAAACTAGACAGTCTTAAAGGGGTAAGTTTCTAAAGAAACTGTGGTGCTGCGTCAGCGGGGGTAACAAGGTAATTTGGTTATATCAACTAGGTTGAAATTGTAAATTGGCCACCATAAACAGTTAAAAAGCAGATGTTTCAAGCATTAGCCCTTTGTCAGAGCACTCTGATGAAGGGCTAACACTTGAAAGCAGATGTTTCAAGCGTTAGCCCTTCGTCAGAGCACTCTGACAAAGAGCTAACGCTTGAAACATCCGCTTTTTAACTCTTTAAAGTGGGCAATTTACAATTTCAACGTAGATGATAAAACCAAATTCTCTTGATGGTATTTCGCATATGCAGAATATTAGCTTTAAGCAGTAATTTGCAAAACAAGTGGTAGGCTCTCTGCCATTGAAAAGGAAGAAGAAAAATACTTCAGATGATAGAGTATAACTTACTTGTATAAATAAAAGAAAATGTAACCACTGTGTTGTCTTTTGTAGCGAACTGAGTGTTCTGCAACCTAAAGTAAAACAAAAATTTACCATATTAACTTCACTTATGAAGATCAATTTCTACGCTATCTAGTCACAATTTTAAAGGGAAGATTTGTGGGTTTGACCTTTTTTCAACTGTTTGAAGTACAGAAAATTGTAAAAACATGGGGCTCTTTTCTTACTGTATATAAATTAAAATTTTAAGCCTAGCAAGTAAGGATGAAGAAGTAATTAGAATACCTTTGTTGCTGCAGAGTCATCATAACTTGTCCACTGTTTGGTTTTGCAATCATACACATCTGAAATATAGTGTCCTGGTGCAGAGAGAGTCATTCAAGAAAAGCACACAATCAGGCAAATCTTAGACTACAAGTCCACCCTCTTTTACAGCAAAGTCCATTATGTAACTCAGAAACAAATGAGCCAAAGAAAAAAATTGAAGTTAGAATGTGGTGCTCCCAAGCAAATAGTTCTGTGCAGCAAACCAACTTCAATTCTTGGGGATGATTTGTTTTTGAGTCACATAGCAAACTTATCCAAATCAGAGGGACTGCTAAAAGTTTTGGGAAATCTCAAACCATTTTCTGACTGGGGTTTTGTATTAGCTTGATGGGAAAGAAGCTATTGAGCTCACCTGAAGTAGAACTTGTGCCAAGATGGCTGACAATACTGATCAGTCTGTATGAGTGTGTAGACAGCTTGGGCTCTCCCTCGTCATCCTGGCGACATAACAAATATGCAAATAAAAGAAAAGCACATACACGTGGAACCTTGATTTAAAGAACCTTTATATAACGAAGTCCTTGGTATGATGAACAATACTTCAGTTTTAGCCCACCTAAAGTTACAGTAAAATGTATGCAACAGAACCTCAATATAACAAACCCTTGATGTAACGAACCAGTTTCCCCAGTCCCTTGCCACTTAGTTAAATCAAGTTTCCACATATATCAAAGAACGGAAAGTAATTATTAAGCAGTTGCATTTCCTAGGACATTTATTGACTGCATCCTAGTCAAATCAAATTTTGAACTGTTAAATTTTGAGAAAAGAAAAGTAAGAAACATCAAAATCCTATGCATTGTCTTATTTTTGACCTGCTATCAGCTTCCCAATTCTGGATGCTACAAGAACAACTGGAACAGTATAGAAAAATATATTTAATTTGAATTTATTTAAATTTACCTCAAAAGTAGGCTCTGTTAAATTCTCAGGGTCCACTGCAGCTGGTGATACAGCCTTGGCAGATCTCAAGTCCCGCCCTTCAAAATCTAAAGAAATAATCAAACAGATACCAAATGAAGACATATATCTTATTAACCAAGCGCGAGGGCCGTACTGGGAGAATATCGGCCTGAGGTCTGTACAAAAAAGACCGAGGGCCGATATTCTTCCAGTACGGTCCCGAGCAAGCTTGGTTAATAAGAGATTTATTATACGGCCGACTGAAGTTCAAAGGGATACAAGTGCGGTATCATTCGGGACCATTCGGGACAGTGCCCGGTCCAATACTGAGAGAATATTGCCCGGCAATAGAGCATTTTGATTGGTTGATTTTAGTTATTGGACCTCTGTCTTCCCGAGTCGTGTAATAAACTGACATACTTAACCCTTTAGTACCAAAGATCTTATTGCTGACTCTCCCTTCTAGCTACTACATATTAACTTGTAAATTAGTTACCAAAATTTAGTGTTGGATCAAGGTAAAAACTTTTACCTGATAAGTTTGAGTATTCTTATCACCTTACAAGGCTGTGCTCTAAGAAAAATGGAAGGGAGCCCAGTGCTCTGAAGCTGTGAAATCCAGAGTGCCCTGCATATGCTTTTAATGAAAAAACTAAGATTTCTGAGTTTCCAAAAAACAAAAGTAGGGCACCAGGGGCCACCAGGCGCTGCTTGACTACAGCCCTACCTGTTTGCTAGATAATGTATGGATATTACTGGGCTGTAAGCAGAAACTTAGACATGAAGGGCAATTTCCCATATGGAAAATTATATGCTAGACACTCATCCATGGGTTTAATTATGGTTTAAATGTTCATTTAGTTTAGAGGGCATTTTACAGATTTGTCTCTGATAACTTCACCTTGCAAACTCAGCTGCAAGGCCCTCTTCAGATCTTCATCTTCTGTCTGGTGATAATAATTTAATAGTTAATAATAGTAACTGCCTAATACCAAGCTGTCAAGAGTTCAACTCCATCATTCTATTACTGCTAACATCATGATGAAACATTTGGAAAGCTTTGGAGCAAAAACTCTCCCTCAAATTTTGGCCATGTTACAAAAGTGCTTCAGGAGTTGCTGAATTTTTGCAATGTTCTTTATTTCAAAGATAAATATGGTTTGAAACTTTTTTGTTCACACCTAGTTTTCAAGATATAACTTATTGGATAACTGTCTCCTTCTGGAAGAAATGTCAATTCTTGGGTAGTCTCCTTGTCTTTACAGAAAGAAAATGTTCTCTTGTTTTTGAGGAATGCGAGCAATGAAAAGAATACAGTTAAGGAAGTGAAATTCTTTCTGAGATGCAATTTCATATAAGTTTTACAATAACCATCTGCAATTCATTTCTCACCTGGTCTTGAAGGCTCATGTTGATTGCCTTTTTGATGTCTTCATCACTAAAACTTTGGACCTCCCAGCTGCTCTTGCCTACAACCTCATTACCAATGGCATTGGTTACAGGAGTGTTACTCTCTTTGACACCATCATCAAAAAGATCATCATCAAAAAGATCCCCCTCAAATTTTCCTAGCATGGGCGTTTTACTCAAGCTGAAATTTCTTTGAAGCATTCGTTTCTGAACGGAACTACTCGTTCTTTTTTTGATACAAATCTTAGGAGTGCTGTTTTTTAGGACAAATCCTTTGTCTACACTAGTTTCTAAGCTTGAATCTTCCCCACAGCTTTTGTATCCCCCAGTATCATTCAAACTATTGTCAAGATCGTGGGAAATATCTTGAGTAGCCATTTTGATTGGAGCGCCTCCTTTTAAACCAACAGGTCCTTCAGCTTTGCTGTTCTGAGCCATAAAAACTAAATCTTCATCAGAAATTTCACTCAATTGATTAAAATCATCACTGTCAAAATTATACGTTGCATCTTCACTCAAATCTTCCGTTTCTGTATTGCATTCAGCAGCATCTGTGTTGGGTTTTTGTTCAAGTCCATTCAATTTTGCCATTGATTCTTTTTCTGCAGATTTGGTACTTTCAGCCAAAGCCCATTTTATCTGCTCCTCTTCTGTATCCTCCCAGATTGGAGTACAATATTGAGGCTTGATCTCCACCCCTTCAACTTCAATGACATCTTTATCACCAATTGTTGGCTGATCAGTAACACAGCTAACAAGGTTGGAATAACCATCGCTGATATTTGATGTTGTATCATTGCTCAAAACTATGGCCGAAGTATTGCATTTGGCATCATTTTCATTTGTTTCTTGTTTTGCAGTTGATTCTTTCTCTGCTGATTTAGCACTTTCAGCCAAAGCCCAATCCATTTGCTCCTCTTCGGTATCCCCCAGGACTGATTTATACCTCAATGGTGATTGATGTAATGGTGCATTCCTACTCCCATCAAATTTAGTGATATCTTTGACATCAGTTTTTTCAGAATCATGTATCTGTTCATCCATCTGGTCATGAAACCTTCCATTTTCAGTGACCCTATCTAGCTTGGAAACACCCAAGACCTGCATCTCATCGTCTGAGAAATTTTTTGTGTTCATCAGGGTATCTCTGGCAGCACTGTTGACAAAAATGCAAGGATCAGAATGATTTGAAACCATTTTCATAAAAAGAATAAAGGCTAATAGTTTCTAAAGAAACTGTTTGGCGCTGCGTCAGTGGGGGTAACGAAACAATTTGAATATATCAACAAAGTTGAAATGGTAAATTGGCCACCATTATGGTTATAAAAGCTGACGTTTTGAGCGTTAGCCCTTCGTCAGAGCATTAGCCCTTTGCCCTTCGCTCCGATGAAGGGCTAACGCTCGAAACGTCAGCTTTTATAACCGTAACGGTGGCCAATTTACCATTTCAACTTTGTTGATATATTCAAATTATTTTCATAAAAAGTTAACCTGGCCTTTAAGCCCTAACGTCAGTGAGCTTATTCTAACAAGTAGAATTTTTTTTACAATCAAGAATTTGTTTTCATTTCCTTTATTTTCATCACCTTAATGTGTGATTCATGGGTGATATTGTAAGGAGAAATTAGTTGCTGGTCACTCTTAAAGGGTCCAAGGGCAAAGGTAAGAAAATTTGCTTATGACAAGTATCTAAATATAAAACATTTTTTTTATTAAACAAAAGACTGTCAGTTACATGCAGTGCCTATTAAAATTATCATTTCACTTTTTTAATTTTTTTGTACCTTGTGAAATTTTCATTTGAGAAGGAATGTGATAGTTTCCTCCTCACAGAGGGAGAAGGTTGAAAGTGACAGAAATCCTCATCATCATCTTCACTGATTAAGTGGCGTTTCTGTGGTTTACGGCCTGATTTAGAAGGACTCCTGGGACAAAAAATAAGAACAATTAAACAAAAGATGACTCATTCCACCTTGCAAAATAGATATTTATGTCTTGGACTTAAAAGAAAGAGGGAACAGGACCTTTATATGCATAAAATCTAAACATCCTAAAAGTGATATCTGATGCTAAACCAGATCTGTAAAGATCAAAACTTTATGTGGCAGCTGTGAAGACCTAAATGTCAATTATCCACACTGATTTCTCAGTTTTAGTGACTACCATGACAAACTTCTGCCCCATTTTTGGTTAGCAGAAAATTGGAAATGTTTTGGGAGGCACATCAAGTTCAAGTCCAACCCTCAAATTCACAAAATTTTAAACTTGCAAATATTTCATGCTACACATTTTTACAAATATTGCAAATAATTCATGCTACACATTACTTACAATTTGAGCGATGGCTTTGGTTGGAATGTGAGAGGAGGTGTAGATTTTGTTGAGCATAGCATACCTATGGAAAGGAGGAACCAAGAATACACGAGGAATACTTCAGGAGAAACCATGAATAGTGTTAGTGGCATTGGAGGCCAAATGAGGTCACATTTTCAGGCCCTAAGTAACAATGGCCATGAACTTCCTAGGAGGAAGATGTTGTGTTGATACTTACTGAGGTTAATGAACCTTTCAATTTTAATCTTGTCTTGCCTCTTTGCTTGTTCTTCAGTGAAGTTGTCAAAGCCATACCTCTTCAAGTGCAGAATCAGCACTCTGAAAGAAAAGATGACAAAATATCTTATGACGAACACGACCTTAATAAATTCAATTATTATCCAATTGTGCTTCAGAGAGTACAAATAATGCATGAGATGAGTACAAATATCATGCAATATTTGTACTCCTGAAATATCCATGAAATTCGCCCACACTGAAATAACAATTTGGCATGTTGGATAATAAATCTCTTATTACCGGTAATCGTTTTGTTGCGTAGTATCGCTGAGTATTTTTACTTGTTGTTTGTATTTTGACTTGCCCTACTGTCTCGTCAAAATACAGCACAACTCGTAAAAATACTCAGTGATACTACACAACAAAACTTCTAATCAGATATATACATTTAAGTCAATTTAAAGAGAGTATAAGATAGCCAGCCAAAAATATTTGTGTATTCTGTAGTGACTGTTCAACACGATGTAGTGAGTTTAATTTTTTGAACCCTTTACACCCTAACATTAGTATGCATTTTCAAAAATTTCTAATTAACTAAGGTAAATAGATGTAACCCTTTCACTCTGAATATTTCATTGGTGATTCTCTTACTGTCTTCTATACAATTCTTATTTATTTATTTAATTTCTATTTACCAGTTTAAGTCCTCACTCTCAACAGAGTATCGCAGACTGCATTAACCAACCCACCCATCCCACCCCAGGGGAGGACATCCACCACACAGTAATCTCGTGTGTGGGAAATTAACGTCTCCTACCCCTAACCCGGCAGGAGACAGGGCCTACGGTTTATTCATCCTTATCCAAGAAGACTAGAATATCTATCCATTTCTTGATCTTATAGAAAGGTAGCAAATTCTCCTCAGTTATTTTAAGACCATGAATATTGGTCCAGCTGAGGCTTAAACCCTCGACCTCCCGCACAACACAATCTGGTGCTTTAACCAACTGAGCTAACCGGGAGGCGGTTACGATATTAGTTTGAGAGAATTTGGTATTGGATCGTCTGATAATCCCCTGATTGTCTTTTTTCCCTATTCTCCTTACTTGCCTGCTTGATATTGTATTGCTATTGTAAGGAGAAATTCTGTCTTGGTTACTAATGGGAGGGTCACTTGGCTTGAGTAGAGACTTACCAGTGAGTGGCAAATCTCTACCTTAGTAAGAAGGATAAGAGGCAAAACTAACCTTGGAAGCCTACTGAAACTGTGTGAAATAACAGCTTCCTTAGACTCACATTTGCCGCATGTGTACTCAAGCTGTTCATCCTAAAATGAGATAAAAAGTAAAAATGTTACTTTTGTGAGATGTTCTTGAGATCACTTGAACATAGTCATGCAAACTTACCCTTTTAAATCCAAGTAGTAGTTAATCTCCTTACTGTCTCTTATACGATTCTATTGAGGTTAGTTTGGAGAATTTGGTATTGGATCTCTCCTAAATGACCTTTTCTTTATTCTCATCACTTGTCCGCTTGATATTGTATCGATATTGTAAGGAGAAATTCTGTTTTGGTCACTCATAGGAATTTAAGGATTGATTCAAAGTTCAGTTTTTCCAGTACTGCTTACCTCAAAGTGTTTCTCCACCAAGGTTTGCATGCTGATGGCTGAGCTAAATGGAGACATGTCTGAAGAACTGCACCTACAAAATGAACACATGAAGTGAGGAACCGTCAATTCCTGTAAAAGTTATGGCACTTTTCAACAACTAGTGACCTATGGAGTTGGAAGAAATCATTAAAGATTTTATTTCTGCTGCTGTTCATTGTCTTGCAGAGCTCTTGGGAAACAGTTATGATGTCCGAGAACATTTTTAATGAGTTGTGATCAAAGCATTTTAACCCATTTTTCTTGTTTCCATTTCAATATGACAAATACTGTGAAGACTGATGGCATCATAAAATGAAATAACAAGTTTGGCTCAGAGTGTTAGACTTTGCATGTTGTTGAAAGGTACTGACAGAAGTAAGTTTTGATCAAATTTAAAGGAAGAGTGTCCTGTATAAGTAAAGATGAGTTGGAAAAAAAAAAAGCTTGGATAGAGGATATATACTCACAGAACTGGGATGTCAAGAGAAAATGCATGGTATATCTCTTCTTTTGGAACAGATTCTCCACACCTAGAAGTCAAAGTTTTTACATTTTATATTTATAGCAGTCATGGAAAAATGTTTAAACCAAAAGTTCATACCCTAGTTTCAATGCAAGGGTGAAGTAAGAGGTAAGACATCAGCTTGGGAAAAAGTGAGGCGGGGGGTGAGGTAAGTGAAAAGACAAAAAGAGGGGTTGGGGAGGAGAGGAGTGGGTTTTCAGTAAGAGTTAGAGTCAACAAAAGAATAAAGGGGGGAGGGAGAGAGAACAAAAGAGTAGAGGGGGAGACGGAAGAGAAGACTGGGAGGAGGACAGATAAAAGGAAAGGACATAAGGAGAGACTGAGGAATAAGAGAAGTGAAGTAAAAAAGGAAGACCAAAAGAAAGGGGAAGGAAGAAAAACAAGAAAGAACAAGGACAAAAGTAGGGGAAGAGGAGACATTATCAAAAGAAAGCTCAAGAATGAGAAAGGGAAGATGAAAAAAATGGGGAGGAGTGAAGATGGGAAAAAGGAGGGATGGAAGAGAGGCAGGGGGGGGTAAAAAATGAAGAAGGGAGTAACAAGGGGGTGAAAGGAGAAAAAAGGGAGGGGAAAGAGCAAAAGCAAATGAGGAGGGACAAAGGGGAAGAAGGTCTGAGTAGGATACAAGTTTACTTTTATAGCTACATAACAGAAGTACCACTTCGTAATAAACTACTTACTGTTTACAGATGACTGTGTGGACCACTCCACTTTCAAAAGATCTTGTCACAGGACATTGTAAATCTGCTAACTACACAGGAGCAGAAATGGAAGTCTATTAACTTCAAAGTACAATTTTGTTGTGACCCCAATTTTTACCTCTGGTTTCAACCTCAAATAACATACAATAGCCCATTGCCAAATTGCCTTCGGCCTCTTTTTCAAAGCAAGTCGTGGTGCTCATCCTTTCATGTGATAATAAGTTTTCATTCACATGCAAATTAATCTTATTTTCATAAGAATGATTAAGTACCAGGCCTCACTTTAAATAGGGGCTGAAGGTAATTCAGAAATGGCCTAGTTAAGACTGTATGTTTGGCAAGAGTGATTCGCTAACATTTCAATTTTTTAGAAATGAAATGTAAAAATTATCATCATAATGATAATAATGCAACTTTGAAATTAAACAAATATCACCAGTGCAAACAGCAAATCTTCCACAAAATTCTTACCATTGGGTTACTTTCTTTTGAGGTATCTTTGGGAGATGGCGAGTTAGATTTGCTCACATCATCCTTCAGCTGATCGAAGACCTGACAAAGGAACTCATGAGCATCCTAGAAAAAAAATCAACTAAAATTAAATTGAAACTTCTCTACAATAACATTTCACCTTAACCCTTTGACTGCTAAGATAGACTCCTAATAGTAACATCACCCACCCCTANATGAGTGTTGGTCTGACTGGGGCTCGAACCCTCGACCTCCCGCACAACAGCCCAGCACTCTATCCAGTGAGCTAACTGGGAGACTGAAGCTTTTGATTGTTAACCAAATTCTCCTTAGCAGCACCTCAGGAAATGTATAGAGAACAGTATGGAGAATATGCATACTGATGTTAGGGTGTACAGGGTTAACCCATTTCCAATTGAAAAAAAAATTATTTCCTAGACTCAAGGCAAGATCCACAAAAAATCTGAATAAAATATTCAGTAATTCTCATTTGCTAAAAAGTTTGTTATTCTTCAAACAACCAGCTCCAGGTGCAGGTAATTTTTAGGCTAGGCTTTTACTATCTCTCACAAACAAAAGGTGAACTTCCTGCCACACAATGAATGAGATGTATGTTGCAGCATCACTAACATGTTGATGATATCCTGAAAAACGTGTTGCAGCTTCAGAGATTGTTCGCTTCAGTTTCCTTAAACAGTTCTTAAGCACCTCTAGATTTCCACACTTTCTTTTGCACATTAGAACACTATGAAGACATCTGTGGAAAAAAAAAAATGAAAACCAGAGGGAAAATTAAACCACTTACTGGTAGCAAACACTAAATTCTACTGGTACTGTAACAATAATATTCTGTTAAGTCACCATCAACCCAAACCAGACCATCAATCAGTTTCAGTTGTCAATCATCACAAATTATCAACAACAACAACAGCGTTTATTAAAACACGATAAAAAATTCAGCAAAAGCTGATGTGGTCGTGAACAAACAATAAACTAAATTCCTAACTAATTACAAGAAGACTAATGCAAGATTTCTACATATTTACAACAATAAAAATTCTACATAGTACATCATTATAATATACGTGGCTTAAAAATACACTTGAGTGACTTTTGAAAAGCATCAACATCTTGACCGAGTAATTGACTTGTATGAGTATGATTTCTTGACCATATCGGTCTTAGGTCTAGGTAACTTAAATGTCATTTTCCTCCTGAGGTCGTAACTACTTACATACTTTTCAAAACGACAGTTCATAGGACATGGTAGAAGATGACAATAAGCCTGATGCGCTAAGATTAATAATCGTTTCTCATACATAATCTCTAAGGTATTCCATTTTACTGTGGCAAAAACCTCCTTGCTTGGCATACACCAATCCAAGTTAAATATTATTTTTGCTGCTCTAACATGTATAGATTCTAAGGTTTAGAAAACACTCGACCACAAGAGCCCCAAACTAACATACCATATGTCACAGATGGCAAAATAACCTTAAAATAAAAATCAGTTCTCGCCTGTTTAGGCAGGAAATACAAGGATTTAAGTAAATTCAACTTCTGTGTAAATGACTTCACTAATTCCGATACATGATGATCCCATTTAAGAGCATTGTCTATCTGAACACTTAGGCATCTTGTAGCAACAACCTCCTCGATAACATAATCACCCATCTTAATAGCTTGTTTTGGCCCAGTCAAATAGCAGAAAGTTTAATTCAACTCAAGTTGCAAATTATACCAAGTTTTCAGTCAACATACTGTGAAATATAAGTCAACCTAAAAGTCATATACTATATCCAACTTGTCAATCACTTGTAAGGATGTATTTCTACATCCACATTTCCTGGATGAGATGACACTCCATCCCAAGGTTACCCCACACCATTTCCTCAGGCATCTTTGAAACCTTGACTGTATATACTTACCTACCCAACTCTACTCTTGGAGGGAGAAAGGCACTGCAAGAGAAGAGTCCACCCGAGAACACAACACATTGACGTAACCTTAACCCCTGACCCATTGACCTGGAGTCAGCACACTAACCATATATTTAGGTTACCATCTCTCCCATGAAAAAAAAAAAACAAAACAAAAAAAAAAAAACAAAAGAGGATGAAGGTACTTTTACACTTACTTGTACAGACAGTGTGGATGAACATTTTCCAACAAAGCTCTGTTTGAAAGATCCTGAACAAATGGTGGCACACCAAGTAATGACTGAAGAATGGCATTCATGTAGCAAGTATTCCCCAAGTTTGAAAAGCTGCAACCAAAAAAATTTAATTCATTTATATTAGATTTGATTTAATTGAGTTACAATGTAACAAAGCTTACTGCCAAGAGCCTAATGGGCTCTTCTGGTCAGTGATCACTGTCACAAGCATACGCTCATGTGCAACAATGCAACCTAAATATTTACTGTTCACATCTTTGAGTTTTAAATTCTGCCCAACTTTTGAATTATTTTAATTGAGAGAATTTGATGTTCAATCAAACAATATCCCTTTTTTTAAATTTTCCTTTTTTTTAAGTTTTCCTTTAAACTTGTAGTCTTCTGGCTTAAAATGTATTGGTATGGTGAGAGGAAAGTTCCTTTTGGTCACTCCAAGAAGTGAAAGTGGATTTTAAGATGTACTGAACCTTTTGTAATTTGGGTACCCAAAAATAAGCCATGGGCAAGTTCAGCATCTAAAAAAATATTGTTAACTATGATCATAATAAATATATCTCATTAGACATTTTGTTGTGTAGTATCGCTGAGTATTTTTACGAGTTGGGCTGTATTTTGACGAGCCCATAGGGCGAGTCAAAACACAAATAATGAGTAAAAATACTCAGCAATACTACACAACAAAACGTCTAATAAGTTATTTGCGAATTTTGCAGATTTTTTATTTACGGGGAGTGCGTGACAGAAGTATGCGAAGCGGAACGGAATTGGCGCATTGTTGTGTTGCTGTTTCTGTTTTCTTCATGAAGAAATTTTCTGGTCGTCAAGCTGTTTTTCTTTGTTCCATTCATCTAATGAACTTGGATCTATATTTGCCAGTCGTTCTGACTCTTTGTCATCAGAAATATGATTCAAATTGTCTGTCATTTGTTTTTTTTTTCCGTAACTACAATCCAATTCTTCGCTTGCACAATGCGAGAAAACCTGTTTAACCCGTATTCTATAATAGACAAGTACAAATACCACGTGATATTTGTACTTGTCTATGGCGTTATTTGTACTCGTCTAGGTGTAGTTGGATAATAATACAGGAAATTAGAGTGCTTGTCCTTACCCTGTTAATGCAAAGTCTTTCTCATAGAGATGCTTCTCACGGGATCTGAAAGATATCTGACTTGTCAGACGCATTGTTTGAGGTGCAGGCATCAAGCCTGGACCCCTGACATTCTTGGCAGATTTCCTATGAATGAAAATGAACTGTTATGAATGTCTGTCTATCACCAGATCAGGGCCAACTTGTTTGAAAGGCAGTTGGAAAGAATTTAGGACAATTAATATTTTAATTTGTCCTTCATTTCTCTTGAAATAAAGTGGATATTGGGGCTCATATTTTGAGGTGTTTTGCCTTAGCACAAGAGGAAACTGAACAAGAAAACATACACTTGAAAAAATACACTGACATATATTGCATATTACCAATATGAGAATTTTCAATTGTGATAAGAATTTTCAATTTCAACCCTTAAAAATACACTCTTGAAACTGTATGCAAAGCTTCAAAACTGAATCAAAAAGTGTTGGCTAACCCTTGTTTAGCTTGTGCTGTGAAAAACTTGGCCCAAATGAATGATCTGACTTGTACTAAATAGTAATCTGCTAGACTGCCATCAATAAGCACACCCAAGCTCAACTGAATTATATCTTATTAACCAAGCTCGAGGGCTGTACTGGGAGAATATTGGCCCGAGGTCTTGACAGAACGGACCGAGCACAGCTCGGTCCGTACAAAAAAGACCAAGGGCCGATATTCTTCCAGTACGGTCCCGAACAAGCTTGGTTAATAAGAGATTTATTATACGACTGAAGTTCACAGGGACACAAGTGTGGTATCATTCGGGACCATTCGGGACAGTGCCCGGTCCAATACTGAGAGAATATTGAGCGGCAATAGAGCATTTTGATTGGTTGATTTTAGTTATTGGCCCTCTGACTGCCCGAGTCATGTAATAAATAGTCCTTTATGCCAAATGACAAAATTAGCAATCTTTCTCCTCTCATCCCCTGGGTTTCTAAAACAGCTGGGTTAATCAGAAAATCTCTTTCTCTTGTCCAACCATAATACTCTGAACCTCAAATCCACCAGCAACAGGTCTTGTAACAGAATGGTTCATTCCCTACAGTCACTTGTGGCCAAATGTGTGTCGTATTGTTACTCTCACTTGAAGATGTATCCATAATTAGGTCATAACTAACCACTTCCTTGCTCCCCACAGTTAGCAAATCACAAAAATAAAGCAAAGCTGAAAGGATGTGACAGGCCTTTTTCACTCTCTCCCCCATGCCACACCCCTCTCCCCCATGTCACACCCCTCTCCCCCATGCCACACCCCTCTCCCCCATGCCACACCCCTTTCCCCCATCCCCTCCCCACCCTCAAGGATAGCCAATCAGGACGTAAAATGTGCATTATCTTTCCACCTTGCATAACAGGCCAAAAGTAATTTTTTAAATCACTGACCAATTACTTGGAGACTGCATTAAATTTTGTGATCCATAAAATGAAGTGACTGACTTCCCACCACTGGATGTATTGCTGAGATTATCTGTAATTATCAAAGACAGTTTTAAACCCAGAACTTCACTGAAGATAAACCTACAATTCCTAAAACAATAAAAAATACATTGTATCTATAGTTACGGTTGAGCACTGAGAGAGAGAGAGAGAGAGAGTCAAAATTTGGATTAAAAATCTGGTGTGTAGTTTGAACATAGTTCCTTCTTGTAATTTCAACACAAACCTCTTGCAAATGTTTTATCCACAAGAGGGGTTTTATTTGGTGGTCTGTTTGATGAAGGTGGATTCATCTGCTTGGCATGGAGATTGCGCTGAACACTGGGGGTTGGCCTGAAAAATTGAATTGATCAACAAAAACAGAATTGCTGATAGTGTTCATTTCACAATGTCCATTGAATCTTAGGTAGCAGTAAAAAGCATATCCAAGAGATAATAGCACTAATTGACTTTTAATTAAGTATATACTAAAACAGTGGATAGCATTGAAGGTGCACTCTGATTGGCTAGTGAAACTCCGATTATCCTTTGCTATTTACCTCAGAGCAACTCGGGAAAAAATGGCGTCCCGGTTTGCATCCATGATAAGTGAAGAAATCACTCAAATTAATGACAGTGGTGTATATTGTCTCACTGTTCTAGTATATACTAAAACAACTATTCACCTCATTGTCGGTGGTTAGCAGTGGATATTTACCTTGCTGCCTCGTGGCTCGGTGAATATCCACCACTAGCCACCTCCACTTCAGTGAATAGTTGTTAACTATAACATTAGATGCCAGCCACTGCTAGCCTGGGTCAAGGGATAAGGAACTTACTTGTTTGTCCTTCCAGAAGGTGATGATCTGAGCAGGTTTCTTCGTAAAGGTGATTTATAATTCATTCTGGGCATGGACACATTGGAATGGGTGTTGTTCAAGGGCAAGTTCTGGGATGAAAAAATGTTTAAGTAATAATTATCTATTCAGTAATAATAATCTATTAAGTAATGTACAGGAATCAAATCACATTTTTAGTAAACAATTGATAACCATGGAAAGATAGGTGAAGTTAAACAAGCCTAGAAACCCATTTATTCCCTTTTATTAAAGAAGTTTTTTGTCTAAAGTTACAGTGAGTATCACTATTTCCAGTTGATGGGATACCAGCCTATTTTACCCCGACATCTCTCAACCCTTCACACCCTTACATCAGTATACAAATTCTCCATACTATTCTTTATACATTTCCTGAGGTACTGACTGGGAGAATTTGTTTAACAATCAAGAGCTTCTTTAGTTGGTGTAATTTTCTTTATTCTTGTGACCTAAATATGTGATATTCAGGGGCATAGCCAGGATTTTTCAAAGGGGGGGGGTCACAGAGGCTACTCACCAGATTGTCATGTCGACCTCCACGCCGTGCATGTTTTACTTAATGTTACAGTTTTGGGACGAGCAGTGAGAGTATAGTGGGCAGGCCAAGATATTGTCATGGTGTTTTCACCACCTGAATATTGTAGGTTGTTTGCTCAAAAGAAGGCCTACCAAGGGGGGGTTCTATAATAGACAAGTACAAATACCACGTGATATTTGTACTCGTCTA